ACGGCAAGAGACAGACAGGGGTACTGGGTTCCTGTTGAGATCTGTCAGACAGACAGGGCTGACATTTTTTTTGATAATTGCTCTGCCTAGCCATGATCTGAATTAGCATATGAAAGTTGTGTCTTTTTTTCCTTCACTGGGAGCGCATAGCTGTAAGCTAATTTGTAAGTCATTTTAGATGACAGAGAGTGGTTGTATCCCAGAGGTGCTCTTTCCCTCTTGATCCTTTATTCTCTCTCTCTCTCTCTCTCTCTCTCTCGCCTCTCTCTCTCTCTCTCTCTCTCTCTCTCTCTCTCTCTCTTTCTATCTATCCTGCTTGCTTTCTCTATCGCTTCTCTACCTCCTCCCAACTCATCTTTCCTCCACTCATGTCTCAATTATAGAATATTGAAATGACTCAGGCAACACTTTCAGCTGTTCTGAGGCAGATGGTCGCCCAGCAAGCATAGGTCAAAGTGCTCAACTGTGTCATTGTGTGTCATTGTGTTCCACCTTATTGGAAATCCTTCTCTCTTAGTCCTTGTCACACGTTAACCTGTGTGTCCGATGACGACACAGCCACACCAGTGCAACTGTCCTTGGTGAAAAGTGCAACAGTACTATTGTAATACGGACCTGATTCAGCCCTTTTCTCACTGTTACTATTATACGTCTCGCAAGCAATTTAGTTTTTATTCAAGAACTGCAAGGCCTCCCAATTTTGAATGAACAAAGAGTCTACTTGCAGGCTCAGTGTGGCTTATATGGGGATTAATTGAAGCTATTGAGTGTGGATCCACAGAAAGGGACTTGTGTTTGTGGCACCGTCGATGCCAAAGCAGCTGGGCGGGCCGAGGAAGGGAAGAGGAGACGACTGATAGTCCAGCGAGCCACCTGGAGTGAAGTGAAGCCATAGTTTCAGAAAAATACACTAATACACCCAGGTGTGGACACAAACGCATGCTCATATGTCTAGCATGTTAACACACACACACACACTAACACACACACACACACACACACACACACACACTGTGAGAACAGTTGAGGCTGTCTCTCAGGCAATGTTAGTATGCAGTAGGTGGAGCAGAGAGGAGCAGGGGAAAGCATAGTGGAGCGCCTTCGATCGTTATTATTGACCATTCCTCCATGCAGCTGTATGCTGCATAAACACATTCACACTCACTTGCATTCACACTCACTCGCATGCACACATGCATAGAAACACATACGTTCACACGCACAAAGACTTTAATATGCAGACACACAAGCCAGTGGGATTTGAGATAACTGCAGTGGTACGAGAATACACAGAAATGCCCTGAGTTTACAAGGACATGCACATACAATCCAGTCTGTAGGCCTGCAGCTCTGCTTGAGATAATCAATTCTGTTTGTTGGTAGTGAGCACGAGCTGGTTCTGAGAAGAAAGAAATAACCATGGATCAAGAATGTAATCAAATACCATGGCCCTGGACATTTTTTTTATCTATTTTTAAATTAATACCAATCACAACCACTGAAAAATGTTTTACTCAACGCAGTTTACCTCCTGAAAAGAAGTATTATAACTGGCTACTGTTCTAAACTTTCTCTTCCCTAAACATCTAGATTTTTACTTAATTTTTACGTCATCACTTTTCTCAGCTCGAGGAAGGTTTTATAAATATAAAACCTCCATGGATTAAAAATGTATTAAAGAAACATTCATAGTTGACTGGCTGAGTTGTTTGCAGTTCGAGATGTTCTGTCAACAGTTTTACAGTAAGCTTTTTTAGAATGGTGGTCAATGAGGTAAATTCATTTTTCACTGCAAATCCACAAGTGGCCACTGGGCAAATTGGAAGCAAGGCTGAGCTGGCTGCGCTATCTAGTTCTATAATATATCCATGGTTCAAATGCTTGTCATGAAGTACATAATTTGTACAATATAAGCACAATGAAAAACAGTACTAAGATACACCTTTAGTTTTGGCTACTTCTCGGAGTCATGCATACTAAAGATTTAAGGTGTCAAACTCTATTCTAAGGAGAGAAAAAAAATCGGGTCGATGTTATGTCAACAGTAGTTTGACATTTTGGGAAACATGCGTATTCCCTTTCTTGCTGAGACGAGAAGGTCGATACCACTCTCAAGTCTGTACACTAAATATGAAGCTGAAGACAGGAGACAGGTAGAATATAAACCAAACAGCCAGCCTGACCAAAGCTCACTACTTAACATATCATATCTCGTATATTCAATCCATGCAAAAACCGAAGTATACAAATATGAAGTTGTGGTTTAGAGGTGCTGGTAGGCTGATTTTTAGGCTAGCTGTTTTCCCTCACTTCCACTATTATTGCTAAGCTAAGCTAACCATCTCCTCATTATAGCTCTGCAATGAATCTGTTATGTTTCCAGTATCAAACAAAATGCCTACATCATCCTTTAAATAAACCCCATTTCTCCTCAGAGAGAAATCCAGTAATAACCCAGACTGAGTTAGATTTACTAGAAGACAAGAGACACGCACACATGCAAACACACACACACACAAACGCATGTGAGTGTGTGTATGTGTCTGTTTTAACATGCATTCAAAACACAGGCATACTCCCCTCTCCCAACCCTGGCCTTTTGTCACACTGACAGGCAGTCTGTTCTAATGAAAGCTCCTCTCATTCATAAGCCTGCCTTGTCAACTTTTGATGCCAGACAACTTTCAGAGGGAAAGAAGATGGAAAAAGGAGAAAGGAAAGACAGGAGAGACAGCCGGCTCTCACTTTTTCCCTTTGATTTCCCTTTTTTTCTGCTTTCTCTGAAATCTTTCCTTGAAAATGAACTGCATTTGATTTGATAATATTACATGGTTTGCCTCTGTGGTTATATGATTAAGGACTACAGACACACACATATAATGGGTGTAATCTACCTCTCCTGTCTCCCTCATTTTACCACTGGTTGTCTGTCACACTCCAGAGCATCTCGACCACGAGCTGAAAAACCCCTTCAGGATATCAAATCTATGGTCTTTCATTTCTAACTAGGTCATCACTTGCTCACAATGGCATCCTCACCACCCTCCTATGTGTATTCCTCCATCTCCTTCACTGTTTTCTCATTCATCCCTTTCTTATTGCACAATTATAATGTGTAAACATGTTGGAAGTCATATTTTCTTCGTCATTCATTCCATCCCCTGTCTGTGATTGTAAATTTAGTAATTTTTTTTTTTAAATCTTACCAAGGATTTAGCTATACTTTTTTTTTTCAGTAGCAGATCAGATTTCCTGTATTATTTAGCACTGAGCACTGGCCTGTACCAGTAGTATTAATCTGTATTAAACTGTCATGACAGGGCTAAATGAGAGTAATTCAACACCCCATAAAGTCTGCATTATGATATCTCTACCAATATTGCCAGAATCCCCACCATACGGCGGCCCCATTTGCTCCCCGTCCCAGATAGGCTTCTCCATCATCGGTGACATGAAATACCCCGGCAGCCACCGGCTACAGCACACATCACTCCTCATAAACACTGACTACCTCTCTCTACTTCCATGTGTTCACACAAATTAGCATAACATCAGCATGATATTAGCACATCCGACCTGCACAGCCATTCCTTATCAAAGCGCTCTGTGATCCCTGGCTCCCTGCGCTTTAGTCTGGAGCAGAGAAAGAAAGAGAAACAGAGAGAGAGATGGAGAGAGAGGGAGACAGAGTTTCCCCCCAGAGAGAGAGAGAGAGAGAGAAAGAGAGAGAAGAGAGCGATGAGCTACATGATAACGAGCTGTGTTACACTGCTACACAACACACAGCCTTGTCACAGTGCCTCAGAGCTGTGCTGAGCTAAATGGGCTGCAGCAGATGTTTGGTGACTTCAATCACACAGAGCTGCGTACCTACCTCACTTGACTTGCAAATATTTGCTGAGAGACTTCAAAATTGGATTTTCTGTATTTTCTTATTTTAGAATGTGTGAGGTAGCGATTACAGTGCTTAAGAATGAATACACACAGTACGCTTTCTTCTCACACTGTATCACTGTAGAATATTATTTGTTATAAAATGCTAGTTGTCTCCTGTGATGAAATCCGGAGGCAATTGATCCTTTGTTTGTTCCTTTCATGTGTCACAGTGTTTCAGACACCAGTAGTTAGATTTTGGCAAAACGTGGAGACAGTAGATTTCATCCAACTGGGAATTTCAAGGATTACACTGGTTGTGTGTGCAAAACATTATGGGTCAAAATTAGGTGATATTTGTTCTACTGTTTGGTCCAGACAGAGAAGTCTGCCTTCATCAGTGGGAGGCAATATGTTCACTTATTTTGTCATTCAGAATTAAGATCACAGTGCGCTAAAGGTCTCCTTAAAGTCATGAAATTGTTGTTGAGCAAACTCTTTATTATAATTTCCCTAAATATTATGTTCTATATTTTCTTAATAACATTAATACAGTCAAGTTCAAAATTTCTGTAATACTAATACAGAGGAATTCAGTACTGTAAATAAGCAAATGTACAGGGTATGATAATCGTCCATTTTCATACCACAGTATTCCATGGTATTGGTATACCACTGCAGCCCTATTCAGAATGTGTATAATGATAAGTTGTATAACGCTAAATGTTCACACTACAATTCATTATTTGTTTTCATGAAAGTCTTGTCACTCCAGACAATCAAGCTGAGGGTGGGGTCCAGTGGGGAAGAAATGAAAGATCCTGCACTCTGCTGAGAAGGTTTAGTCTGCAGGCCATAGACACTCTCAAAGTTTTTTGTAGCGAATCTGCAAACTACAGAATGTTCAATTATACTCATTGACCAGAGGCCATACACAGTACTTACAGCTCACATAAAGGTGACATATTTGGCCCACAGGCAGTTAGGATGTTCATAGGAGCTGTCATTTCAAAGTGTTACTTTATTTTCATTGTTTTATTAAGGCCGGTACTGTAACTGTTTCAAATTGCACCATACACCGATATGTCCTGTGACTTAATAGTTTTTATTTGTTTATTTATTTGCAGTGTCACGGTTTGTCATCACATCCACGGGAGCCCTGTATATCCTGGATGTGCAAATGGAGGACGGGCTGTACAACTACAGGTGTATGACACGTCATCGGTACACAGGAGAGACCCGACAGAGCAATAGCGCCCGCCTCATTGTCTCAGGTAAGAGGAACACTAAAATATCCAGAAATGATGCAACACGTCAAGAGGTATCACATCACATCCTGCCATATGGCTTTATTTATCATTAATGAAGAAGATCATATTTATACTTGACTATAAATGACACAACCAAGTAAACAATGTGAACCATAAAAAGGACACTAAACTAGATGACACATGACACATTAAATAAAACAAACAAACCTCTTATTTGTCTGTGTGTATTTTTTTGTTGTTGTTTGTTTTAAGTACTGCTTATTTTGGTTGGTTCAAAAATAGTGTGTGCAAAGTGGCAGGGGACCATATGGAAATAAATTTGTATATGTAAAAAAGATCTAGATAATTTGAATATAATAGGGAGTGACAAGAAAAAAACACATGAATTAAAGAGGGGGTGGCATGTGATAAAGGTCAGTAGAGCTGTGCCAACATGATTTCAGAAGAGGGCTTCAAGACAGAAAATGCCATTCGTTTTCTTAAACCATAAAGGGACACTGCACCGATTACACATCATGATCATTTAACTTAGTAGCAGTAACAGTAGCCTGTGAAAACAGTTGTATTGTGTTTTTTGTGGATCTGATTGGAGATTTCTAAAGTAACCCTGATGTTGTCATTAGGGTTGAGTTTGGGTACTCTGGCACAGGCTTTTGGATGTTTGTTTGTTTTAAATGGGAAGCCTGTGTTCCCGTATTTGTATGTAATGTAATTTTCTTAATAATAGAGGTGAATAGCTCTGGATTGCATTAAGAAAAGAAATGCCTGCATCCAACCTGATCCTTAATGTTTTTATATTATATACTAGATTTTTCATAAATAACAAAGTTGGGCATAAATTTGCTTAACAAACTCTCTCTGTAATCTTTTTTGAGCTTGTCGTTGTGTAGAGGGAGTTTCTCTCTCTCTTTAAAAGTGTACTGCAGCGTCTGTTGCTTTGGTGCAGCCTCTGCTTGAGTTAGCTGAATGAACTGTATTCTGTTGGAGCTGAGCTCAGTGGCGGCACACAGCACAGTGGATTGGAGAAACAGAAATCTGAGAGTTGACAACAGCTGCACTGTGCACGAAAGCTTCATTCAATTCCACACAACCATCCAACTTAGACTCAGTGTGTTACATATATGTATCAGAACCTGGGATTGAAAATTGTTCAGAAGTGATCAAACAACACAACTAACTCAAACATCTTACTATGCCCTATGACCCCCTTACAGACCCCACCAACTCAGCGCCCCACATACTGGACAGCTTTGAGCGTCGTGAGGTGATGGCATCTCATCGAGTGGAGTTGCCCTGCAAGGCCTCCGGACATCCAGCACCCAAATACCGCTGGCTAAAGGACAACCGGCCGCTGGAGCCCGACACACGCTTCAGACAGAGTGTGACAGGACTGCTGATAGAGAGAGCCCAGCCCACTGACACAGGGACATATGTGTGTGAGGTGTGGAATGGATATGGCAATGCTGAGGTGGTTGGCAGGCTGCTGGTAAAAGGTCAGTATCCATGGGGTGTTGGTAAGTCATTGGTGTGATTTTTATCAGTGCTATTATCCCTGAAAGTCTGAAACAAGCTGGGATGCTAAAGATGCTGCTTCAATTTTGTAGGGTGCTACATATAGTGTTTTTAATCTTTCTGTGGCAAAATAATAATGATAAACTCTTAACCCTTACCTCCCTTACCTACAGAGCCCCTGAAGGTCGTGGTGAGCCCGCGTAAAGTGAAGGGCAGCGTGGGAAGTCAGGTTTCACTGTCCTGCAGTGTAACTGGCTCCGAGGAGTACCAGTTGTCCTGGTACCGCAATGGAGAGCTCATCTACCCAAGTAACAGCGTCCGCATGACAGGCCAAAACAGGGAGAATCTGGTTATGGCTGGTATGGCCAAGAGCGACGGAGGAGCCTATCAGTGCTTTGCCAGGAACGGCAAGATGTCTGCCCAGGACTTTGTTCAAGTCATACTGGAAGGTCAGAAATCACAGTGGTCTTACTGAAGACGTGGGTGGGAGCACTCACATACAGATCTTTATATTAATCTCTTTGTTTTCTGTGTAAGGGTATATGTGTGAAATCCAAACTGTGTGCCTGTGTGTTCATGTTCAAATCTAGACAGTGTCTATTGTATTGAGTGCTGCAGTACAGCTTAGCTCTATTAGATTTTCTGAAAGAGGCGAGTGTACTGTTACACAAGCTGGGTTGCTGCAGTGTCTGCCGCTCATGACCACACTAATATAAGGAGAATATTGATAATCAATGATGTTGTGGAGCCAGGGAAAGGAGCTGTATTAATTTGCTTTACAGTCTGATTCTGCTTTTAATACAACACACATGATAGTATTGCAATGAATCAGCAAATCACTCTTTACTCTGAATAGATTCTCATTTAAAAAAGGCTTCAGATGTGTTTCATATATTATGATGATTGTTGAATATTAAAATGAACCTTTCCATGTGTATCCCCTCCCACTACCAAGATGGCACCCCCAAGATTCTGGCTTCATTCAGCGAGAAGGTCTACAACATCAATGAGTTTGTGTCACTGTCGTGCACGGTGAAGGGCACACCGGAGCCCCGGGTAACGTGGACTCTGGATGATGAGCCAGTGGTACGGGACAGCCGTCACCGCATCTCTCACTACTCCAACAGCGAGGGCCATGTGGTCAGCCACCTCAACATCAGCCAGACCCAGGTGCCCGACGGAGGGGTGTATCGCTGCATCTGCAACAACTCGGCCGGGACAGTTTCCTACCAGGCGCGAATAAACGTAAGAGGTGCTTGTCAGATCAACTCTTCCAACACACCATCACATATACACATCAACATGTCTAGATTTTTTCTGTTTGTATATGTTTTTATTTGGCTACATTTAAAAAGCGCTTAGATGTGCAGATGTTGACAGAATGCCTGACTAGGTTTGACGAGAGGTTTTTATTTTTAGTCATCAGATGTGTTGCTAGTTTCTCTGACATTTAGAAACCTGATTTTGTGGTCTCAGAAGAGGACACAACAGCCTCCTGTAGGAACACCTCCTATCATCAGTCACTGGTGTCAGCGTTTACTTTTCTAATGCCCTGCTTCTTTCCCAACACCTGCTGATAGCTTTATATTGGGACGCCATTAGGGTGATTTACTGTTAGCTCCAGTGTATGACTGTAGTGCTATCTACTCTCTACAGGGACATGGTTGGCTGGATTGCTGTTGTCATGTAGCAGTTATACTGGGGCGCTCAAGCTTCCAGTGCTTGGTGTGAGGCTATTAGTATTTCTGTATTGCGGAGAGGGAAGGGTACTTTCTGTACACTGATTGGTTTAATTTGATTGTGTTCATTCTTGCATGTAGTAAGGCTAAATAGGGCGATCCTCTAGCCCTTAAGCGAGGCTCCATGGATGCCGAATGCAGCCAAGCAATGAAGATAAATCTCCACAGGTGCCATTGCGGAGAAAGTGTAATGACTGTTTCTCACATCGTTGGCTCCTTAATCGTGCTAAAGAGAGTAGCAACCCAGGATATGCTTGTGCTTAAAGTACACTACAGAGCCTAGTTAAACTGTCTTCTACAGTGCTTTAAAGAGAAGCCTAATAGTCCATTTCCCTGATAGACACTGAGCTATGGATGCCTATTGGTTATTCTGTTGGTTTTTCACAAGTGTGTGCAAAAGCCTGCAACATGAGTAATGGTTTTGATAATAGCTTCATGAGTGGAGAAAGGGAACATTCCACTCTAATGCTTGTCAGAGGCAATCACAGTCGGCACCAAAGAGGTGGGAGCGAAAGGTAATATTCACTGCAGGCTCAAATAGAAGGGTACACGGGTCCCTGGTTCTGACAAGGCAAAAAGCACGTTTGATATGAAGGAAATAGAGCAGAATGGTCCACTGGTAACAATTCTGAACCAAATCTCCTATTTTGAGTTTCTTAGACGCCTTTCTTTGAGTGACAACAAGGATATCTTAGTCAGGCATTCTAAGACTTCTAAATAAATCTTGGTAATGTTTTTTTTATTTCTCTGCTATCAGAACGAATCAAGGCATGTACACTTTGTGGTGTCTTGAAAACACACACAACACAGAACAGCTATCTTTTATACCACCCCCCCTGCCTCAAAATCATTTTAAGAGAGTTGTCTCTCCAATGTGTCCTTCAAGGGCCTGCCAGCATCAGACCAATGAAAAACCTCACTGCCATCGCTGGCCGGGACATGTACATCCACTGCCGTGTCATTGGCTACCCGTACTACTCCATCAAGTGGTACAAGGATTCCAATTTGCTGCCATACAACCACCGCCAGCGGGCCTTCGAGAACAACGGCACCCTGAAACTGTTTGATGTGCAGAAGGATGTGGATGAAGGAGAATACACATGTAATGTGCTGGTGCAGCCTCAGCTCTCCACACACCAGAGTGTCTATGTTACTGTGAAAGGTATGAACCTCAGTCCTATCTGTCTTCCTTTACAGTTCATGACTCAACACTGGATAATAAGTCTGGATTTAGCAAAATATTTAGTCGCTGTACCTATGTGTAATCATGGGTACTCCGGATTATTAAGTATAAGTGTCAAGTAAACAGTTTAGGCCATTTATTTGAGATGTACATACACACTGTATATGTGTATATTTGTTGAGTACATTCATGGATACTCCATCATTAATCTTTCAGTCTGTGGATACTAAGATGAAATCACTTTATCAGTCTGTGCACTGACCCTGTGTCTTTCCACCTGGGATACATGCTGTACATCACACTTAAAAGATATATTAAAGCATCACATTAGTATCTACCTCTCCTTGTCGGATAAAACACAGATATGCAGGGGTATATTTGTATATCACAACCTGTAAAAAAACACTCACATCACTGATAGCAAAGAACCATTTCCATCATCCCGACCAGCTTATCTGGGGCTCATCTGAATATGCAGCGGTGCTGAGCTGAGCCAGATGATGATAACCTCAGATGGCTCTTTTTCTTCAATGACGCTGCATAATTTGAAATGTCAGCTGGGCAAATCCTCATCCCCTCCATCCCCCCATCCCTCTCTGGCGGGTCTTGACGTGCTAAGGAGTGTGCAAAGGGGAAATCACACAGCGTAGACAAAGCTATGCCGCCATTCCGCCTTGGCTAATTTGCCTCTCGGCTGCTTAGCATTCCACCGCTGCCGAGAGGGAATCCCCAGGAGCCTATTATGCCTATTTTGTTGTGAATTAAATAAGCGCTGAAGTGCCGCTTATTCCAATGTTATTTTAAATCATTAATTTTCTAAAGCATCTGGTTCTCACGATGGCTACAGTGTCCCCAGAGAGCAAAAGAGAGTGAGAGAAAATGTTATATGCATGTTGTTTAAGAGAGAATTAAGCCGTTGTGTGGGGACAGGTAATAAAATATTTATCTTATTCTGGCAAAATCACAGTATAATGTTTTAATATTGGGAACAAGGTGATAAAGGGAGAATTATGACTAAGTTGCTGTGAGAGTGCTTTAGACATATATGTTGTTTTTTTTATACTCGTTAGAATGGGGACTGATTTTGTTCACCTGAGGTGAAAATCAATTTGCATGTCTCTTCCTCAGTCCCACCTACCATCCACCCATTTGAGTTCCCACGGTTTTCCATCGGCCAGCGAGTCTTCATCCCTTGCGTGGTCATGTCTGGCGACCAACCCGTCTTCATCACCTGGCAGAAGGACGGTCGGCCGATCCCAGCCAGCCTGGGCGTCACCATAGACAACATAGATTTTACCAGCTCCCTGCGTATCTCCAACCTCACACTGATGCACAACGGCAACTACACCTGCATCGCACGCAACCAAGCTGCCGCCGTAGAGCACCAGAGCCAGCTCATCGTCCGAGGTGAGGAGGTGGGGAAGACGGGCGAGAGAAGCGGGGTGGTAGTAATGAGGAGAGTAGAAATGCCAAAGTATCAAAGTATAGGGGCATATCATCTTAAGTCGCTTGCTACCAAAAGTTTTAGAGATAAAACGAAGTGACTTCTGATGAGAGATAATAATAATATATTGAGTGTCAGTATCAGATCATTAAATGATTAGCATTGTTCAACCAAATATTATCTTTAAGGTAATATTGATTCTTCATTTTGACTTGATCTTTCTCCCTGAATACAGATTTATAGATTTTATTTTTAGAGATTTATTGAAAGATTTCCTTCCAAGTGAGCTGTTAGTGCTCAGTAGACATAAATTTGATTTTGAGATGAATAAGTGTAATCTAACGGCGACTTGGCTTGCAGTTCCTCCCAAATTTGTAGTGCAACCTAAGGACCAGGATGGCATCTATGGAAAGGCAGTGATACTAAACTGCTCAGCTGAAGGCTATCCTGTTCCTACAATCCAGTGGGAGTACTCTAAAGGTAAACACATAGCATGACACACACATTAATGTACCTGTGTATAATATACACACATATTATACCGTAGTAACACACAACTGTTCCTTCCAGGTTTGGTGAAAGTGTTTCACAAGTTTTCAAAGACCTTTAACTGGATAACTTGCCTTTCTTTTCTTTTGAAAATCAGGCTGAAATGTATGTAAAGATTTTTTGTCCTCTGGCAAGCTTATTCTCTGCAGTAAATGATCCTTCTACAATGCCAACACAGCAAACAGTGTCCACAGCCTTAGGGTTGAATGTATAATAACACCCACCCAAGTCCAAACAAGCACTGTGAGATTAGAAACATCAGCAATAGAAGGAAGAGCTTTTTATTTCTCTGGAAGTAGAAAATAGGTGAAAGATTACGTAACTACGAAACTTCCTGGCCATGGACACAATAACAGCGTTTCTAGAAAACAAAAAGGATCGGTATTATCATGAACATCAATTGCTTTCATTCTTGTCATTTATGACATTGCTCACTTATAATGATACATGACCAAGGCTCATATGCTGTTACTGTTAATACAAAGCTTAGATAATTGCAGGTTCCTCAAATTCAATGAAATTCTGGTATGTTTATATAATATTTGATTAATTAATTAAACATGCAAATCTAATCAATAAAAAAAATGATATCTGGTGAATACCTACAGTAGGTTTAGCCATAAAAAACTAATCTGTACATATATCAGCTGTGGGTTTTATAAAGCAGGTACAGTAAGTAGACATGTTAATTGTGATACAAGATAAGTATCTGTCGTTGATGAAGAATGGGCTCCATGTTTTCAAAAGCAAGTCCTGGCGAATAAATACGACTCGTTCATACAGTAAATAGAGTTCTATGTAGTGCTCAAATTATAATGGTGTTTTTTTCATTTTCTCACAATACCGCACCACAAGTTATTGTAGCCACTCATCTGTGGAGTCTCAGGTATATTGCCCAACATGCACAGGGCTGGGTTCTTTATCTGGAATACATTAAACAACTTATTTATTTACAAAAGATAATTTTTCCCCATAAATCTCTAGCCTTGTCACAGTCATATAGCATCTGTACCCTTGTTCCAACCTATTTATGACACCACCAACACACTGAGGATCTATTGATAAATAGATTGTTCTTCAGTAACCTCTCACAATTTCAAGCAAATTAAGAACCATATGTGTTGGCATATCTGATAAGGTCATAGAAAATTTAAGGGAGTAAAATATTTACTAGCCAGGTATGTTTTCCTGTATGTTGGTCAAAGCCTGATCAAAACTCACTGTCTTCTCTGACAGGTGCCGGGGTCCCTCAGTTCAAACCCATCGCCCTCAACTCAGGCTTTCGGATCGAGGTGTTGGTCAATGGCTCTCTGTTCATCAAGCATGTGCTGGAAGAAGACAGTGGCTTCTACCTGTGTAGAGTCAGCAATGACGTTGGAGCTGATGTCAGCAAATCCATGTATCTCAATGTCAAAAGTAAGTCTCATGGGAAAACGCCAATGAAAACATAAGAATGTAACTTTGGAACTTGCTTCTAAGGTGCTGTAGACAAACATGTCTGTATTAGATAAACTGTGTATTTAGGTTTGTGTAGTGCATTCTTTTATAGTCAGCTTTCCACAAACAGTTATCAGTCACACTTGGTTTTGTCTTGTTGACTCTCTTTTTTCATACTCTGATGCTGTTCATGCTCAGTGCTGCTGGTCAGATTAAAGTAAAAAGTTAACACTAAAGCAGAGAGGTTAAGTGAGTTGAATAGGAGTCGGCTTTGTCTGTGACAGTCCGGCCACCAGCAAGATGCCGTCAGGGTGCTTGCTCTGTGCTTTCTGCCTGAATGAATCCCACGAAAGCAATGCACACAGCCACTGCCACCACATCTCTTGGAGAATGTACAGCATTTATCCGCTGTGTGGCAAAGGACTTAACTCCCCTCCATTAAGCCCTGAATTCTGCATGCAGGCAGGAGCTGCCATGTGGAAAAGTGGGCTGAAGGATGGAGGAAAACAGGGTTGGAGTTGGAATAGGTTATCCATGTCCATTTCCCCGCCATGTCTGTATTTTTGCTTGGTCCCGCCTACCTTTACTACGTGTTCCAGACCAGATAGTTTATCCCACCTTTATGTTTGCAAGAAATACAGACATGTTTTATGTGTGATAAAACCCTTGCTTACAGTATGTGTGTCTATGTTCTTTCCTACATTCCTGACCAATGTTATATTTGTTGTGCCGCCATGTTTTGATTACCACTGACATTATCAAAGGGTTGGAGCTAACACCAATCATCCTCACACATACATTGAACATAGCTATTGATTTACTTTCTACAAGTTTTAAACATTATATATTATGACCAGGATCAGCGAAAATTACTTTAAGGTAATATTATGTAGATGTGTTATGTACAAACACAGTTATTACATATATGATACAGAAATCAAGTTGCTTTTAAATTCATGCAATTCTCACACATTTAAATGTTTGCGTTCTACTTAGTGTTTTTGTGGTAATATTACACTTTTTTCCATAAGAATACTGCCCTCTTCAGGTTGGAAGAGCACTTAATAAACCATGAGAGTCTAATACATGATTCAATTCACCAAAAAGAGAGATGCTAAAAGCAGGGATTCTTCTGTGGCACAAATATCTGGATTCCACAAAAATACACATTTCTGTCTTTGTGACTGTGTGTGTGTGTGTGTGTGTGTGTGTGTGTGTGTGTGTGTGTGTGTGTGTGAGAAATCTTCAGCCAGTAGGCTGTGGCTGGGTGCTCATTTTGATCCGTCACTGCTAGATGAGGCTTATGCCCCTGTGGCTCTTATCAAGCCAGAGCAGAGTACTCCCTGCTGAGAGTCTCACTGTCTGCCAGCCACAGCCAAATAGGCTACCACTCCTTCATGACCCCTCCTGTCAGAATCCAGCCTATCATGCTCCCTCACAGACAAACATACATGCACACACAGACACAGAGGCACCAACTCCCAGAACGGTCCTTTATGTCATTCAAGTGTAATTCACTATTAAATATCTTATAGATATGCGGTTGAAGTTTTTTTTTTAAAATACGCTGGTACCCACTGAAGGATGCTACTAATGAAAACTTCTCATTGGTCTAAATCCTTTAGCTGGACAAATATGTTTTCACGTGTGTACATCGTGTATACTCCATGTTGCTTAGTTCTTTTTTATTTTCACAAAATTCTAAAAGACCATGACAACATTAAATATACGGGCCAATCAGAATATCAGGTTCATCGTAAAATCAACATATGGAAGGAATGTGCTGATGTCTGTCTGAGCATCATATTAATAATATTACAGGCAATTGAACAAAGAAAATACAAACCACAGAACAAGTGGAGAGGCTTTTTATGGTAAAAATGTCTTTGTGCCCTGCTCAGAATAATTAACATAAATTAGCCTACGGAGTAAGCTGTACCCATCAAACCATGGTGACTGCACCAAAATTCTTGTGGTGACACACATAACACGTTTACTTTATAAGGCCTGTATTTGGCAGTTTTCACAGTACGAAAATTTCTTCTCCTTGAGGTCTGCAGACCATCTGCATCATAATCTTGAGAAAAACATCTCACAGAATTTAGGGACTGGTTTCACCAGTGTGACACAGTTCTAAATTATAATCTCTAAATTAACCAGGTCCTAGATGACATGTGATAATGGAAACACAAACACACTGCGAGATCTGGGTATTTTAAACAACAGATTATTGATCTTTGTCTTTTTATGTCTCGTGTGTGTGTGTGTGTGTTTGTGTGTGTGTGTGTGTGTGTGTGTGTGTGTGTGTGTGTGTGTGTGTGTGTGTGTGTGTGTCAGCAGTCCCTCAGGTACATGTTCTACTCCTGAAGTGTCAGGCTGTTGTTGTGATAATCGTGCTGTCCTGATTTGTGTCTCTTTGCTCTCTGTAGTAACCTGAATCTCCCTGGGCGCCAGGGGAGCCACACCTCATCCTATCTCCTGTGTATGTATGTGTGTGTGTGTGTGTGTGTGTGTGTGTGTGTGTGTGTGTGTGTGTGTCTGTGTGTCTGTGTGTGTGTATGTGTGTGTGTGTGTGTGTGTGTGTGTGTGTGTGTGTGTGTGTGTGTGTGTGTGTGTGTGTGTGTGTGTGTGTGTGTGTGTGTGTGTGTGTGTGTGTATGTGTGTGTGTGTGTGTGTGTGTGTGTGTGTGTGTGTGTGTGTGTGTGTGTGTGTGTGTGTGTGTGTGTGTGTGTGCAGACAGCTAGCTCATTAACCATTAAAGCCTCTCCATGTGCTTAACAGGCACAGTGTTGAGCCAGTGCAGTCCACTATAACGTCTGAGGCTGTAACACTCAGTAATGTTGGACACTGTAATGTTCTGTACACTCTGTGCTGTTTTTATGTTGTTTATCCAGGCCAGCCTACACCACTTGAGCAGTGGCAGCTACTTAAGAGGCTTAGGAGCCAATTAGGGAGGCATACAAGCTGACGCATGCTGAAGTACTCACGTGATGGATAGTATGATCTTCGCTGTGTATTATTGGCTGTCCAAGTGTGGCTTGATGTATCAGTAAACAAACAGTGGGAATCAATAGTTTCAATCAGAAGCTCTGAGATGTATACAATAGATAAATGCATGGTGACAATGCTATCTGGTCATTTATGTGACACAGGTGAGCAAACATGCTCATAAGCACACACAAAGACAGACATTTGAACACAAAGCACTGCACACGTTAATGTGAAGACGTAATGTAAAGGCACAGACACAGTACAGCCATTACAAAAGAATAATGGGCCAGGCGGCTAATGCAGTGGTTCATATAGAGCCCACTCTGCCACGCTATTGTGGTGGACTCCCCAGGAAATGAATTGCAGCCATTGTGATGTCCTAGCTTGGCACTTTCATTGTTATGAGTGTCTGTGCATAGGCTAATGTCCCGTCATAATACACCATGCATCATCCTGTATGAACACCGCCACTGCACTAACAGCCAGTAGAAATTGCTTGCACTCACTGCTCCAGGATTAAGTTGTGTATGTGTGCATGTGTGAGTGTGCCTAGATGCACTTGTGTTTATGTTTATTCTTCTTTCACAAGGCTCTTTCTAGGAGTAGTAATCAGTTTTGGTTCTGTCGTGACACTGGTTGCAGGTGGAGGTTTAAACAAATTATTTTTATGCAATTTCCAGTCAAGCATCCCTACCTCCAAAACAGATGCAATTCAGTCAATTCATTATCAATCCACAGCGGATGCTATCAGAGTCAGTCAACAGCCACTCAATGTTTATCAGGGCCAATTAAGACCAATCAAGCCTATTAGACATCATAATGTCGGCAGACACAGTGATGAGGGCAGAGCACTTAATGAGGCTTCACTGAAGAGAAGTGGTAAATGGTCTTGTGGTCACTGAGCAGTCTCCCAAGCACAGCGTCCTTCAGACAACCATAAGGAAGTCCCCTCTTCCTCTGATCTCTATTTCTTTCATCTTATTTACTCATCTGCATCCAAGCCCCCTCCCTCCCACCTCTGTGCAGAAGCCCGCCCGGTCTGCAGGCATACATTTGGTATCATGCTCCATGTCCAAGCCAATTGTGCAGCTAAAGGAATTATTTCAGTACATTGCAGGCGGGCAGTGAACCAGTCATCTTTGTGCTATCGCCACAGAGCTCTTCCCTTCCCCCCCGCCATCCATGCTGTCTCTTCCCCAGCGCCCACTTACAGTGTGCCTCCAGGGCAGGGAGCTATACGCATCTCAGCTCGTCTTCTCTTGTCTGGCCCTCATGGCCCCATTGAGCCTGGGCAGTGTGTTTCTTATACTGGCTAGGGAGGCAGCCAGTTATAGTGTGGGGTGAATCAGAATCAGAATCAGAAATACTTTAATAATCCCAGGGTGAAATTATTTTTGTTACAAAGCTCCAGATATACAAACAACATCTATTAAGAACAAAATATAAATATAAATATATATATATATATATAAAAGATCAAATGTACAGTTTAATAATGTGCAAAAAGTGCAAAAAATGATTGTCCGTGTTAGAGTCAGATTACAGAAAGGAGGTGTCTGACTCTCTGAGGGAGGCGTTGTATAGTTTAATGACCACAGGCAGGAATGATTTCCTGTGGCGCTCTGTGGTGCATCTGTGTGAAAGGAGTCTTCCGCTGAAGGTGCTCCTCTGCTGGGCAAGTGTGTCGTAGAGAGGATGTCCCAGATGGACTGAAGCCTGGACAGCATCCTCCTCTGTAGACTATGTGTATACTATAATGTAGACTAGCACCCCAGTTCTCTAACCTGGATGATGCTCTGATGAAGCCAGCTCATCTGGAGAGAAGATAAAACAACAGAGGGTTTTTTTTCATTATAAATTTTAGGAAAAAAATCGCTAAAAGGTTTGACAGCAGCAGCAAGGATTTTTTCAAATAATTAATTGATGAAAAACTGTATTTGGACAGCTGATAGTCGATTGTTGATCAGCTGATCAAAACATAAGTGGGTTTATATTTCTTTTACAGTAAACCCACAAAAAAGGACATCACATTAACTCATAGTGGTATCTGACAAGAGCATTTCAAACATCAGAAACCACAAAACCTCATTTGTGGACTTAATGATCATCATCATCATCATCATCATCATCTTCTTTTAGCCAAATGTTTGTGTGACTTCAGCAATGGAGCTTGACGTTTCAGTTCTTTTTGTTAATAATTAATCTGGCTCAAATGATGCTTCTGAAAATAATGTAATCCCTTTTCATCACCTCTCACATCTCATTAAGCTTCTGAGATGGTCTCACTTGCTTTATTTCTTTGATCACAGTTGAATAGCCCCACACTGAAGTAGCCATTCTGCTATAATTATGTGTTATTATAATTCTCCTGACTCCTCCATTTGGCTAATTCTGTTTTCCACATCACTAACACCAGCAGTTAGAGACACTAGAAACATTTTCTATTTGTACCTCTTTTTTTTTTGGCCCTGCATTGCGACATTCAGGGCGTGATTGTGTAATCATCATCATACTCCTGTGAAAATCAATGGCAGGTCCATGTTCTATTCCTGGCTACTAGAAATGGCCCTTTTCCTAAGAGTAGAGACTAGAGAGAGAGAGGAAGGAGGAGAGGGAGGAGGGAGGCGCGGTGGGGAGAGGAGAGGAGAGGAGAGACTGTCCGATGCTGGTTGGCATGGTAACCTGGCCAGGTGAAAGGGAGCCTGGGAGAAGGGAGGGAGAGGGGGCTTTTGTCTCACGGGAGTAGCCTATCAGCAGCCAGCCTATCCCCCACAATCCCCTGCAGGCTTAAACGTATCATCACTGCCCTCTGGGTTGCTGTGGAGGAACAGGGCTCTCCTCACCTCCACATAAAAGACACGTCGTACTGTGCAGTAAACATACACTACACACTCTGCCTACTATTCTTTTCTTATTTTCCAAAATCTGTAATGCTGATGTTTCATTTCTGTAGTATATTTTTCTAACTAATGTGAGCTACAGATGCAGCACAAATTTTCTAGGAATAATCTTAGGATCAAAATAAACATGTTTTGGGCTGCAACACACTGGCATACACGCTGTTCTCTGTCATCATCTTGAATTAGATATAAGGGGAGTTGATGCCTAATGAGAAAGAGCACTCCCTTTTTCCTCCTTCACCTCCTCTCTTTCGCTTTCTTTCTTTTTCTCTCTTCACCCCTCCCCATACTCCTGTTCCCATAATTCCACTGGATATTAAAGAAATACATCAACACAACAATTACAGGGCCACAAAGTGCGCCTCAGGGCTGGCTCAGCTGGGCTGTTTGCACACACGCATGTTTGTACACACATGCATATACATAGACATGAGCTGAAGCGCGTGCAAACACACTTACACAGACATTCAAATTGCATGTGCCTCAACTTTGAGCCGTCCTCGTGTTGCAAAGACTCTCTGATTGTTGAGTAGTTTTTTTTTGCTTTTGTGTCTTCTTTTACATTTATCTCAAATCAAGATGTCATGTTGTAAAAAACATTTAGTCTGGTGTCTACAACATATTAATGGCAGAGCTGCTGTCTGGCATAAAATAAAAGTGAGCAATCGATTGATCTACATAAAATAATATACAATGATTTTCTATGTGTCAGTGTCAGTACAGGTGTGTCTATGAAGAGCCACTGCTTTGATTGGCTGTCAGATCAAAAGCAACCCCCTCGATCCCCTTAACGCCAAACTTGTAATAGCTGGAGTTACATATCTACATCACACAGCTGGTCATGCTCAAACTTGTCCCTTTGACTTGTCCCTTTCAAAATATATAAATATATAATATTTTTGTAAATTATACTTAAAAGTATGTAAGTAAGGAAAAACATATCACACACATTTATTGATCCAAACAGACTACTTGTATGTATCTCTAATAGATATCTGGAGGGGTCTTTAACATTACAGTACAGACAGCCTTTACACACCTAACACCCATCTTTTCACCGTCATTGCTTTTTGTCACCTAGCTCAGTATCCCTCTCTGCCAGGAGTGTCAACAAGATCGCCCTGTGCCGCCTCTGAGCCACTTACACTGCAAAATGAAAGTGGCTGTGCTCTAAAACGATAACGTTTAAATAAAGCCTGAGCTGTTATTTTTTTCTGCTCATTTTTCCAAGTGTGTCTCACAAAAAATTCATACTTGTCATGCAAAATAAATCAGCTTTCTTTTCCATAGCCGAGCCCCAAATGGCTGCAGAGTGAATAAGAGATGAGGCTTAAATGTTTGCAACCTCTTGCCTGACACTTCCCATCACATCACTGTGGTTACGCTTAGTGTGTTTGTGCAAGAGTGAGGACACACACGTTTGTGCATGTTCATGCATGAGCTTGTGTGTGTTTACATGGGTGTGAGTGTGTGTGTGAGCATCTGGGAGCAGAGGGTTGTTATACACTCTGCTGTGGGTGTAATGAGGCATGTATGTCGTTAGTGTGCGTTTAGTGTTGTGTCTTCAGAGTGTTGTTAGAGCATCACTGTACCATTTAGGACCCTCAAATACAAGATGCACACCAAGGCTGCTTGTTGCCTTCAACACAACATTAAAGGGGTGCTGTACATTCTCGGAATAGTTTGTGTGCCAACTGTAAGCAAGTTTTTTACACTCAGTCACTACACAGCATGTCAGAATGTTACACATAGCACAGCACATACAGATAGATACCTAGTTAAATCTTTGCTTAGTACAAAACTAACACTGTTAAGATGACACGTCATGTAATTACAATGCCACAAACCAGCATAAACAATAGTATAAACAAAACAGTAGTACAATGTTTGATCCTTAAGGAGCCCGGAAGGTTTCATTTCTTCTGAATAAATAGGGCAAAATATGTAAAGAAGAACATATAAATTATGTTTTTTCATGATTATGATTATTGTTATTTCATTTTTGTTGGGGTTTGTGTTTGTTTTGATACATACATTAGCCTTGTTAAGCTAAATAAAAGATGAGTAACTGCGTTTGAACTATTTGCCGCAGCAGTCTGTTGTTGATGGTTCAGCATTATGTTGGCATTGTTGTTGCTCTAGCTAACAGGAGCTAGCTGGCTACATCAGGCAGCAGTTGTTGAGCTATAGGAGACCAAGGGCATGGGACTGACTGAAATATATGATTATTAAATAAAAGTAGACTGTTGAAAAAAGGGTATTTTGAAATAAAAAATGCTGTTAAGAAATAAAAATGAACTCAAAACTGGTCCTATGAAAAACAGAATGATGATTTATTACACAATTTATTGGTTTATTTATATAGTTTTCTCTTTACTTATATGAGCATGTATTTCATAATGTCTAATTTATTTATTTAATATTGACCACTTTGGGGCTCTGTAGATACTGGCTGAATCAAAAAAAAAAATTGGAAGTATGGACATGGTCTCATGGTTCTTTACTAGTGCTTTTCCTTTGAACAATACATCTAGTAGTTATAAGTCAAATCAATTATCAATGTGGTTCATCTAGAAAATAAATTTAACAAGATATCTATCTATCTCTTTTTCTGCACTTTATTTCCACACCAGTCCCTGCCATGATCACGTCATACCCCAACACCACGCTGGCCACACAGGGTGAAGAGAAGAAGATGAGCTGCACGGCCCACGGTGAGAAACCCATCATGGTACGGTGGGAGAAGGAGGAACGCATCATCAACCCCGAGACCAGCCGCTACGTGGTTTCTGTCAAGGAGGTGGGCGATGAAGTCATCTCCACCCTGCAGGTAGGAGGCTGTGCTACTTGGAATTGTAAAATTCAAGATATGGTCATCTATTGGACACGTTATATGTTATGTGAAGCCAAAATGTTTTGAGAGAGTTTTGTTTTTATGCTCTGTCTGGCTTTACTATTTTCTTATCAAATACAGGACTGTAAAATCCCTCCAATGACACATTTTGATAAGGAAAAATAACTGTGAACTGTTCACCACTCATGTCTACACTAAGGCCTTGTGATGATGGGCCAGGTAGACCTTTTAATGGGTCACAAGACAGTTGTGGGAACCATAACTGGTGGGAAAACATAAAATGAAAGATATCAGATCAACATACATTTTTTAACATCAATATCACTAATGGACCAGTGGAATGCATTGTCTTTTGCATCAGTTCATTTCTAAACTCATCTCATTCCTGTGCTTCCATCAGATCATGCCCACAGTGAGGGAGGACTCCGGCTTCTTCTCCTGCCATGCCATCAACTCTTTTGGTGAAGACAGAGGAATCATACAGCTCACAGTGCAAGGTATAACGGCAACCATTTCAACTGTTCAAAGAAGAAGTACTGTAATGGAACCTTTCAACCTCTACACCAATTGCAGATAATTACAAATTTTCCATTTTACCTGAAGTTCAGTAACACTGAAATAACACTGTTTGTTAACTTTGTGCCTCATAGAGCCCCCAGACCCCCCAGAGGTGGAGATCAGAGAAGTGAAGGACAGAACCATTGCACTGCGTTGGACTATGGGTTTTGATGGCAATAGCCCAATCACAGGCTTCGATATTGAGAGCAAGAACAAATCAGGTACAAGAAAAGACATGTATATCTAAAATTAGATGTTGTGATCATAAAATTATTTTATAGCATTAGTTAAAATGTGTAAGCTTGTAGAGAATAATGTGTTTTGGTTGATGGATTATCTCTGCATTCACTTTGTCTCAGCGCTATAATGTAATATAGCTTGTCCTAATGCACTTAGCTAGATTTGACCTCTCCCCTGACTTCAGCAACCCCAATAAACCTCACCCTCTCCCCTCCACAGCCTCCTGGGATACCGCTCAGAAGACCAAAGATGTCTCACCTCAGCTCAACCAGGCCACCATCATCGACCTGCACCCTTCCTCTACCTACAACATTCGCATGTTCGCCAAGAACCTGATCGGCAAGAGTGAGGCCAGCAACGAGCTCACCATCACCACCGATGAAGCAGGTGAGAATGAACTGGTTTTTCTTTTCTCAACCCACCCATGAACATATACTATATAGTCTGTACAGAAGTTAATCATACACAAATGACACTTGCTATTTACTCTTATTTTCAAGTACACAAATAATATGCATTAAGAGTAACAAGAGTAAATGTAATTTGTTGCTAGGACCCAAGAAGTCAGTGAAACAAAAACAGTGACAACAGTCAGAGTGAAAGACAAGAGGCAAAAGGGGGTAAAGGGCCAACTGAGTCAATTCATTAACAGCCTGGTGACATCAGCACCATTGGCTCTGTTGCATTATTGAACACACGCTGACCCTGCACTAAAAGCAGAACTTTTCAATTAGCGGCCTCAGTAGTAAATGTCACACTACGGTCAATAGACTGAGGCTGGACCCCTTCTGCAAATTAGCCCCCCTGTCCTATCATCTACCGTGTCTGCCACCCCCCACAGAGCATGTCTCCTCACCCTCAGCAGCCACCTATAAAAACAACCATCACATTTGTTAAAATAACCAGATCCAGACTTAGATGAAACATGTGTTTAGTGGGGTTTTGCAGAACAGTATGGTTTGCAAAAGCCTTTTTAAGATGTTTAGGACAGTTGGATGTGTACAGTTTTATAATATGTACATGTTGGTGATATGATCTCAGCTCCTGATGGACCACCTCAAGACGTGCAGCTGGAAGCCCTCTCCTCTCAGAGCATTCGAGTCAGTTGGCGAGTAAGTTAATCTAACCATGTGGGTTAAAGATGTATGTACTTTTCCATGAAGTGAGTATGCAGCTGGGTCCAGAGAGATACAATCAGGGATGATAGGGCTGAGTTTTTGCTTGTGGCTAAAAGATTGCAGTTTCAAATTCCCAAAGAAATTTAGTACTGTTTTCCTCTCTATGTCAACAAGTCTTGAACTAAACATTTAACCTGCTACTGCTGCAGTTGAGCTGCTACTGCAGCAGTAGAAGATTGAAGCTGTACTGGTCAGCTCCCAGGTGTGACTTCGTTTTACTTTATGAATGTAAAGCAGGATATTGCATAAAAACAGCCGGCATGCTCAGTTGGCAGTTCCTGAATAAATAAAGGGGGTTAAAAGAACCATGTGTGTAGCTACAGTGCATGTGGCCATTATCAGTCCTTCATGTCTGGTAGTTTAGGTGAGACAACAAGTTTATATTTTGATCATTTGCACGGACATTGTGGCCTTGTTTACACCTTGGATCCATTCTTCCAGAGTTATTCAAATTGTGTGTAGATCCAAGGGAGACATACTCATTTCACACATGGCATCAGAATGCATCTAAATATCACAGGATGACTTATGATCACATTTTACTTCCTCTCTCTCATTCTTTTTTAACATGGGAAACTGTAGCTACTGCTTAACAGAAAAAAGGGCACATTTTCTCTCATATGTTCAGCTAAAGGAGAGAATTGTGTTGGCTGCTGTATGTGGTGCCTCATTTTGAGTGCCAACTGTGGTGCTTTCAGTGAGTTATTGGCAAAGACAAACTTGTAGGAAGGATTATAATGCTATTCATATACTGCACTACAGAGGTTATTCTTCCTTCAGCACAACTAGGGCAGTATTTGCACATGTGGCAACATGCATTATTCACACCTGTGTCTTGATTGTATTTCTCAGTATCAGATCTGAATACATCCTTATTTGTGTTTTGTTTGGTATGTAGAGCTCTGCATGTGTAATTGCATTATCTAAATTGTGTTTTTAGCCAGATGCTGCACATGGGTGACAGACAAAATATTTTGAAGATCTTGAGTAGACAAGACACTTAGGGAAAGACCACAAAAACATAAATATGTTATTTTATTGTTATTAAGTGTTATTGGTGTAATTTAAAGCACCTTTGTAATCCGAAGATATAGTGGATACAGGCAGTGAGTGAAAAAAAAAGTCAAGTGGAAAGGAGCAGGGACTTTCATCACCATTGTCTCAAATAACCCGTTGTTCCTCTGCCAGGCACCCAGGAAGCACCTCCAGAATGGAGCCATCAGAGGCTACCAGGTGGGCTACAGGGAGTACAGCTCTGGTGGAAACTACCAGTTCAGTGTGATCAGCGTGGAGACCACAGGGGACAATGCAGAAAGCCTGGTGCTGGACAACCTGAAGAAGTTCACCCAATATGGAGTTGTTGTACAAGCCAGCAACAGTGCTGGGACGGGGCCTTCTTCCACAGAGGTGGCTGCTACCACACTGGAGGACGGTAAGACAGGATGGAGATGAACCTGGAATATGATATCAAACTTATAATATTCTGAATAAAACCCTAACAAGAAAACAAAAACATTAGTAAAGACAGTCTGATACAACATAATAAAAAAGACATTTGCTAAAAGTGAACAGTGAGATCACAAAAAAAGGGATTGCAAAAAACCTAATATTATTCAAAGATATTGGATGTGATGTTTAATTTTACCGCTATGTCCTGACAGAAGTAATGCCAACACATCACAGATGTGAATTTGCTTCTTCTCAGAGGGGCAGACAGCGCTGTTTAATTATGGAGAGATTTGTGAGGATATATCACTACCTAGTGGAGATCAGAGGGTGTTGCCACATGTAGTCAGTCCTAGAGTTTCTACTCCACTTTTTTCATCTTCTATCTTCTGGCTCTTCCCCCCTAGTGCCCAGTCGACCTCCAGAGAACGTCCAGGCCACTGCCACATCTCCAGAGGTCATCTCTCTCTCCTGGCTGACCCCTCCCAAAGATGCTCTGAATGGCAACCTGCTGGGTTTTAGGGTCATCTACTGGGCCAACCTGCCTGATGGAGGTACACATTATATCTGTACACTATTTAAAGACATGAATTGTTATGTACACAGTGTTGGAATCTGCACTTATTGAGGAAAAATTTAAAGCTGCTTGATTGCGTTTTTAGAGGAATTAAAGTGCTCTTGAGGTTTTTGGGCCACAAAGATCAGATAAAAGATCCACACACTGCACTAATAGCTCCTGGTAGATTACATTTAACAGAGCAACAATTTGATCTAACAGAGATGTACAGAGATTTACATTAGTGGTGGATCCCTGTTTTCTTTATCTTGTTGCTGCGCACAAGGACACACATTCACACGCGTATATACAGTCCTCCCACAATTACACACAATTCCACTGATCAAGTGGTGGGAAAACACCACAAGTTCAACATGTTTGTAAAAGCTCAAGGATACACGCAGTGTGTTTTGGTGAATAATTTAATGTACAAATTTTACAAGAAAACTCCACTCAGCCTGGACCAATGAGAGCAGCGTTGAAAAACTGCCTTATACTCCATGCATATGGAAAGGGCCAAAATACATTGAAAAATAAAACAAAGATTTGGTCCAATGTATTAAACAAGTCACATAAATTATCTAAAAAGGAAACAGTTAGGCCAATCATTGAAACTACTGCATAGAAAAAGAAATAGTAGATCAAAATGAAAAAATATAAAACATTACTGATAATATAATTCTTTCCCAAAATGGTTTAATGGTTGTCTGATCTGCAATTCAATCATGATGTTAATACTAATAGATGTATAAAACCATTGTAGGTTTATTTATTTATTCAGTAATCTGCTGAGTGTAAAAAGCTATGAGCTAAAAAATATGCAATGCTGTGTTTATATAATAAATACATAATAAGGATTGTTATTGATCCTAATGAGTAAGCTAAAGCTAATAGTTACCCAGGTGTATTCTGGGTATCTGAGTAACCTCCCACTCTGCGTGGTCCTGTGGAAGTGAGACAGCATGCCATGCCACTGTCACATGCCGGGTTTGTGTCAGAGGGATTGGTTGTGACAGCATGATTACCTTTGACCCCTGCACTGTCACATCATGTTGGCCTGCCTATAGAACATGACCGCTCAGGACATGACAGCCTGGACTAGTTTGCATGGTAACAGTCTGTAGCTCTATGGGCCAATACTTAAAGTAACATTTAAATCTTATATATGGTCAACAGCCCACACTTAACATGTAGGATTTGTAATTAAACTGACAATTCTATAACCCCAGACAAGAGCAGTTCATCAGTTTGAGAAAATGTAATGTTGTTGACCAGCAGAGGGAGATACAAGCCCTTTCTAACAAATAATGGTGCAGATTACCCAGTATACCAGTGTTGTTGTTGAAATAACACTACCAGTTCAAGGCTCTATTAATATTATACTGAATCATGTCAGATGCTTGCAGGAAGCTGTCTGAGAATGGCACATATGTATGTGTAGGTTATAGTGTATAGTGTAATTTATATAAATGTGACTATAAAAAAAACACATAAGATACTGCATTTGTTTTGTCTCATGTCAGTGTAATGCACAAGCAAATGTTTGGCATTTTTGCTTGGAAAATCTGAAACTCAAACAATTTGTCAAAGAACCAAATACATACATCTTTTGCTCAACTAATCAATTGAAGCTGCTGGAAATTTGAAGAATTGCATTTCTTCCATATCTAGTTAAAGAAAACATCAAATCACCAGTGATTTTTAGGATTTCACCCGTAATAGTCCTGCACTATTCAATATCTCACGGAAGTGGAGAAGTCACCTGCTGTCAACTCTAATTAGAATAATTACTGTCAATCACACGTCGCAGTGTTCCCTATTTGGATTAGTTTTTTTCTGTGATGAAACAGAGCCAAGTGGGCTTAGAACCCCATATCTGAACCAGGATATAAAGATATTAAAATAAAGGTAAAACAAACAACAGAGAAGTAATTTACTGCAGTTGGTTACATTTGTATCATATATAAAGACACTAGGCAGTCACACATACACAATCAAGCATAAAATGCATTTACTGTACAGTAAAACTTCTGCAGTCCTGCAAGTGCAATGGGTATTCCAGGTATTTTAACTGCTCATTAGACGCCAGAGAAGAAGAAATGCAGCTGGTCTCATAGGTCTCTGGGGAAAAGTGAAAAGAGAGAGAGGAGGAAGAAAACATTGTTAAGAAGGGATATGGACAGAGAGTAATGACATCAATAATTCAAACCCTAACAGCTGAGGGTAGCAGGTTGCCAGTCAAGACCTGCCACCACAGCAGACCTTGGGCGCAGGGTTGTTTAAAGTTTGTGATTGAATATGACATTATATCCAAGGCTGTGCTATGACACCCTTGGGCCTGACATCTACTTTTATGTATGTGATCTGCTGGATAATATATTAGTCACATGTTTGGACCAGTGGCAGCTTGTCAAATCACTGGATTATTTACAATAAGAGACTTGCACTGCATAAGGCCTTTGACCTGAGGTGTCCTCACTAAATCTGATTTTATTCTCCCACTCTCTCCTCTCTTGCGTTCTGTCCCATCAGAGCTCGGAGAGATCAGGAACGTGACCACCTCTAAGCCCTCTTTGGAGCTGGATGGACTGGAGAAGTACACCAACTACAGCATCCAGGTGTTGGCCTTCACCAGAGCTGGAGACGGCGTTCGCAGTGAACAGATTTACACCCGCACCAAGGAAGACGGTAGGAATATTAAGTCACCTCTCCAAATAAAAGGCATAGGGGCAGCTGTCAAATTGAGCTTGCAAGGCCATCTGGTGTGTCACTCAGGCTGTTTTACAGATATGCTCATACTTAGCGTAAGTTTGACTCACTGCTGTAGGGCACCAAGGAATTACAATATGTCTGATCTTTACATTAAATGGAGAAATGTCAATTTTTTCTAAGTTGAGAATATTTTGCAGCAGTGAATGAACCCCTGTGGTAAAAATGAGGCGAAGAGGAGGAAGGGTCTTAAATATGCTTATTAAGTGGAGAGCTGTAACTCTTGCATGTAGCAGGAAGTCCTGTAGAATATGACATTTGGCCATCTATTATCTTGCTTTATAATCAGTGAAAAAAGCACCATAAAAACCTTCTGAGTAATAATATTAGCTTAATGTGGGAAATATATCAACTAGATTATCTTCAACTTCTCCTTTTAGTTCCTGGTCCTCCGGCGGGTGTGAAGGCAGCAGCTGCGTCAAACTCTGTGGTGTTTGTGTCCTGGCTTCCTCCTCTCAAAGTGAATGGCATCATCAGGAAATACACCGTTTTCTGCTCCAACCCACACCCCACGGTAACACATTATAGAATATGAAATTACACATTCTTCATAATTAATGTCCTCTCTTAAATCTTTGAACAATTTAGCATTTTGAATTGGGTAAATTACTTAAAGGATAAGGCGGGCGTTATTCTGTATTTTTCTTATTGTCAACAAATCCCATGAAACGACCAAAACCTACAATGTGTTCCTCTGTCTCTCAATACTGTCTGACCTCCCTACACTGTCTGTGGCACTCATCTCTGAGGCTATTCATTCCTAAAGTAAAATTAAGTGACATTTTCTAAAAGCAACTTAAAGCAGCTATAATCAATATTTTCATATTGGTTGCAAAGGCTCTGTGTTGTAAGGGGGTCACTCGTAGTAATTAACCTACAGACAGTAATCACAGACTCTGCAGTCTACAGAGCTTTGTAGCATTTTTCAGCTCATTATTTTGATTATCTAGCCCACAGTGCACTACCTGCCAACCACCAAACAGCAGACACTAACAAAGAGAGTCAGTGTTGTTGGGTGTGTTCAGAGGTGCAACACACCTGGAAGTTTTTATGGGATTTGATGGCAATAGGAGAAACGTAGAATATCATCAGACTCATCCTTTGACATTAAGTCAGTGTTTAATGTTGCTGGAAAATATGAATGATGTTTGATCCATAACAGCTGTAGTTATGACAACCCTGAATGTCTTCCTTCACCCAGGTCAGCAGCGAGTTTGAGGCGGCCCCAGATGTTTTCTTCTATCGCATCCCCAACCTGAGCAGGAACCGTCAGTACAGTATCTGGGTGGTGGCCGTCACCGCTGCAGGCCATGGAAACGCCAGTGAAATCATCACTGTCAAACCCATGGCTGAGGGTAAGTACAAGGGCGAGGTGATAGTTAGTGCAAAATAAAGCTGAAATAGTTATACATAGGTATACCGTGTTCCACATTTAATCTCCAAGCAGATTACCTGATTTACTGGTAAATCAAACAATGAGAAGTAAAGCTTTATGTCAACCTGTAAAATAGGTCAACCGTGGTCTTTGTGTGTGACCAGACTATAATATCCAAGATAGCATGCATCATTGTGGGACTCAGTGTAAAACACTTCAATGTAAAGTATATAATACTATTTAAAAAGGTCAAATTGTTAACTTATAATAGCATTTTTAAACTAGTATACTGTAGGTTAAAAATCTAACAGGATCCCTTGTTAGGGATTAACATTCTTCACCCACTACAGCTCGCACCATGTGAAAAAGCTAATACCTAGTATCTTCTTAGAAGACAGGAAGTGGAGCGTCCGTTGAATGGAAATAACCCTGTGTTTGGCCCTGTCAACACTTTACGTGCTTGGTGAGAGCTGATAAGCTGATTGCATATGCTGATAGACCCTATTGTCACTGGAGTCAGGACCCACAGCTCCTATTAGGACGTTTCCAGGTGATGGATGTCCTCTCTCCCCTACTCCATCCACTGCCCAGATGGAGAGAGAAACACCATAAACTGTGACCCCTAAGCCTGTAGTCCTGACTCAGTGATCTGAAGGGTTAGAGAGAGTAAATGAAAGAACAACAAATGTGAAAAACTCTTTCTGAAATCTTTTAGAAAACAACAACTCATCTATTTGTGACTGCGTCTCCTCTGTGGGCTGATGAAGCACATTTGTATTTTGCAGCTCCGTCTCGGATCCTAACCTTCAACCGGACAGTAACGACCCCCTGGATGAGGGACATTGTGCTGCCTTGTAAAGCAGTGGGTGATCCATCACCAACCATCAAGTGGCTGAAGGAGATGTGAGTACAGTACACATATAAAACATACAGTAGGTGTTGCAATCAGTATGTGTATACAGTCGCCAACAGTAGCTGTGTGATGCTGAAAAAGTAACGCTAATTCTTACACCTATGTTTCAGCAATGGAACCCCGGCACCTGTTGTAATTGACAGCCGGCGCAGCGTCCACGGTAATGGCAGCCTTGTTATCCGCACAGTGAAAGCAGAGGATTCTGGGAACTACACTTGTGTGGCCAGTAACAGCTTTGGGTCTGACAAGATCGTCCTCAATCTGCAGGTTCAAGGTAAGAAATACAACATGTGGAAAAAAAATAATTTCTGTACCAACCTTTAACACTAGTGCCCGTCAGAATGTATAACACCTACACACGGGATGTTTGGAGCATGCTGCACCTGTGGATGGGTGGTAATGCATTTATACACTCAATACACAATAAATTATTTGTGTGCTTTGTGTGTTTTCTTTCCTTCAGTTCCACCTGACCAGCCTCGCCTCACAGTGACCAAGACAACCACCACCTCTATAACCCTCTCCTGGATCCCCGGGGACAACGGAGGCAGCTCCATAAGAGGTCAGATAACACAACAATGTCTTTCTTGACTTTTTTCTGCTTTCCTTCTCAAAAATATCCGAAGTGTTTTTTATTCACACTAATTTCCGCATGTGTTCTTTTCCAGGCTACATTCTGCAGTACTCGGAGGATAACAGCGAGCAGTGGGGTAACTTTGCCATCAGTCCAAGTGAGCGCTCCTATCGGCTAGAGAACCTCAAGTGTGGCACCTGGTACAAGTTTACACTCACAGCCCAGAATGCCGTGGGGCCAGGACGCATTAGTGAGATAATTGAAGCAAAGACCCATGGGAAAGGTATAAACAAAGAAGTTTTCTTTTGAGATGCACTTAATTTTATAACTGATCATTTAGATTTTGAGAGATGTTTTAACTTAGAGTCACTGCACCATCAAAATATTTTATTATCTTTATCAGTGAAGGATACTATGTCTAATTAAAGCAAACTTCAAAGCCACTTTAAAGCTTTATTTGTTGCCATTGATTCATTTTATTTTTTTCTCAATAAGCATATAGTCAGGTGATTAAAAACTGCATAGTTATAATTGCTCAATCAATAGAGAAACACCTGTTATGATAATTACTTATTATATAACAAAGTAATTTCTTTACGCATATATTGCCTTTTCCGTTCCTAATAATGTAATTGATCAGACAATTAGTCGTTAAAGCTATTTTTAACTTTCACAGGCTACAGGCCAGTTTTGATTCCATATGTGAGGGTTTGTAATAATTACAAAATGACAGAAATAATCACAATAATAAAATGAATTGTGGATTGTTGAAATAAAAAAATGACCAAGATTATTTTCACAATGTTTTCATTTAACATTTTAGCCCTTTAAAAAAATAATAATAATAATCAAAAATAGACATCACATTAATTAGTAATGAAAATTGTTTGTTGGATCCACATTCAATACATATTTCTTGTTACTTGTAATCGTTAAAAGTTAGAGCATTTCCAATCAGCTTAGAGCACATCTGCCGTAGTTTTCAGGTTTTTTCAGGCTTTCTTTCCCCTCCCTGTACAGAACCTCAGTACTCCAAAGAACAGGAGCTCTTCACTAGCATCAACGCCACTCGGGTCAAGCTAAACCTGAATGGCTGGAATAACGGCGGATGCCCCATCACCTCCTTCACTTTGGAGTATCGGCCCGTAGATTCGCCCACGTGGACCACGGCACAGCGCACCTCCCTCACCAAGAGCTACATCCTGTACGACCTGCAGGAGGCCACGTGGTACGAGCTGCAGATGAAAGTCTACAACAGCGCCGGCTACGCTGAGAAGAGAGTCAAGTTTGCAACACTCAGCTATGATGGCAGTGAGTTAACACATAGCGGGGAATAGTACTGTTTCCAACTCTTTTCTCTGAAGTCACTGAAATATCTGTCATGGCCTGCTGAAACTCGCAAGGAAGTGTACCTGTATGATTCACCGGCTGCTCCAGATGTAGTATAATGTGAACACTGACACTCTGACTGTTAAATAAGTAGAGATTCTGTGATAAAAGACCTAAGTTTCCAGTAACTGTAGCATACTGAGTCTAGCTAACTGCTGGTTTGAAGCAAGAGGAATAAATCACTTTGTGTTGATGGCAGAGCTCGAGGCTGGAGGTGATTGAGGCTCTCTTGATGAATTGGGCAATAAAAAACACATTTTATGCTGACTCTGGTGGCTGTAGCTGGTTTGGTGTGTTGCTGCCTGACACCTTCATCACAAGCCTACTGAATGCCACCACACAAGTGTAATAATTTTATGATCCCCTTTCGAGATAAAGGCTCATATGGCATCTGGGGAGCTCAGTGGCATTCTGCTATAATCAGTCCTGAAGACCACTTCCACAACTCCTTCACTTCCTCTTTCACCAACATATTGCAGCTGTTGAACAGAAAAATCAGCATTTAGATATGAAGGATGAGTTCACTGGTATTTTAGTACAGTTCTGCAGAATATTGAACTCGGTATTACCACCAGTAATGCAAAAGGTCAAGTGCTGATATTAACAGAGTGCAGCAGCTTGTGGTGAAACGCTGTATGTTATTGGTTTGGAAGAAAATGTTAAAGTCTGAAGCTTTGAGCTGCTGATGGTCTTGATAAACTTTTACACAATGTGATAACTGTCAATCAGTAGCTATCGTTCAAGGACACAAATCCAATGGTTTTGTTGTTGACTATCCTGCAACAATCTGTCCCATTCGTCATAACGCATATCACATGACTTCTGCACAGGTACAATCGCACCTTTGGTGAAGGCACCCAATGTCAGTGAGGAAAACTCTGGCGGTGGTGAAGGTTTGAAGATGATGGTGACTATTTCCTGCGTGTTGGTGGGAATCGTCGTAATCTTCATTGGGCTGCTGGTACTAAGGAGGAGGAGGAGGGAGCAGAGGCTCAAGAGGCTCCGAGGTGAGATGAGAGAGGTCATTGAACATTACAGATGTTGGCCTCTATTGTCTTATCCTCAGCAAGTCAAATTTTCTCTTTTTGTTTTCCAGATGCAAAAAGTTTGGCTGAGATGCTCATGAGGTAAGAATGTTTAACAGCTTCACTGTTTAGCCATTATCAAGACAGGTTTATCGTTTTGAAGACACTACTGCTTTTTGAGGAGCATTCATTACGACAAGTCTTTGATAATGAAGTTCTCTTTTTTGTGCTCTTCAGTAAAAACACACGTCCAGCAGAGCCAATTAACAAACAGCAACAGACGCTCCGCATGCACATTGACATCCCCAGAGCCCAGCTCCTGATCGAGGAGAGAGACACCATGGAGACTGTTGGTAAGTGTGTACTGCTGAAATATAGGCAGCTGTGCTTGTTTGTTTTGTGCATACAGCAAATTAACCTGGTAATTGAAGTGCTAAGCTTGTTTGGGCGGCTGTGGCTCAGAGGCAGAGCGTGTCGTTCCTTAATCGGAAGGTTGTGGGTTCGATCCTCGGCTCCTGGTGCCACATGTCGAAGTATCCTTGAGCAAGATGCTGAGCCCCAAATTGCTCCCGATGCCGTGAATGTGTATGAATGTTTGTTTCTGATCGATGGACTTTGCCATCACTGAGTGAATGTGTGTGAAAGGATGAATGTCTCACGTAGTGAAAAAGCGCTTTGAGTGGTCGGAAGACTAGAAAGAAACTATACAAGTACAGGTCCATTTACCATTTTTGTTGCTGTCCCACAGACGACAGGTCCACTGTGTTACTGACTGATAACGACTTTGGGGAGACCCAGAAACAGAAGTCCTCCACAGTCACCCACACAGTCCACTACCAGTCCCTTTCCCAGGCCACCGGTCCTCTGGTAGATGTGTCTGATGCCAGACCAGGAACCAGTAAGTCCAGTACGGACGCTTTTTTTTAACTTCATAACTCATAAAATGAACATTTGGTTTTGTTTGTGCGTGCTGTTTTTCCTTTTGTTCATATGTATTTTCCTTCCATTGATGTGCTTTTTGTTTGAAATAAAGCGAAGCCTGCGAGCTAGGTCAGGCAACTCCAGTAACACCACACTCACATGGCATACTCTTCACACTGCAGCACACTCTTGTGATCTGGTTCTTGAAGGTGCCCTGTGGAGTTTTCTTGCAAACAAACAAAGTTACAGTATGTTTACATTCTGTCTTGCTCATCATAGCACAGTGTGTGTATCCTTGAGCTCTAACAAACACATTGCCTGCATTTCCTTCCTCAGAAAGCATTTGCAAAGCGGAGTATTTTAAATGCTGCATTGTTTACTAGCTTGCAGCCTTCTTCCTTTGCTGGCCCATTACTGCTTATCTTGGTGCAGCGATATATCAGTTTGTTTGTCCGTTGAGCTACTAGAGGTCTAAAACTCCACTGGGAACCTTTAAGCATTCAGTGCTCGGCTCACTCTTTCGCTCCACACTGCTCACCTGAACAGCTCTGCTGACACCTGCTGCTGCTGCTGTTTATGTAGCTGTTCATTAGCGCCTCCTCCACCTCCACCCAGCATCCACCTGTAGGGTCTGACTATACGTTCCCCTACGGAGGAAGATATTATCTTCACACTATTCACACTATCTCCCCACTGCCTGCAGGGCTGAACTTGATGTATCGCTGTGGGGAGAGAGAGCTTAGAGTTCAGAGCCTACATTCACTTAAGTTAACTGAATTGTTGCCTTCAACTTTCTTCAATGACTAAATGTCTAATAGAAAAATCAGACATGGTGTTGATCTGTTTTAATCCTCAGCATGTTTCTATTATTCCTGTATTTCTCCAATGTGACATTTTGGTGGCAAGTTATATTAGATGCAGGGAATTTGTTACTATTACCAACACTATCATGACCATTTCATTCCTCTGACCTCCATAAACACCCTGCCTTTTCCTCCTCATCCTCAGACCCTACAGCCCGCCGCACAGCCAAAGCCGGCCCAGCTGCTCGCAACCGCTACGCCAGCCAGTGGACCCTAAACCGCCCGCACCCCCCTGTCTCCTCCCACACTCTCAGCACTGACTGGAGGCTGCCCACACCCAGAGTCGCAGGCTCTGTTGACAAGGAAAGTGACAGCTACAGCGTCAGCCCATCTCAGGACACAGGTAAGCACCACATCTGGATGAACTATAAAAGTATAACATTACCCGTCATCTCTAACAACAAATCAGTAAGACAACATCTCAATAATTCTGCCACTAACTCTTGACACTAATTCCTCCACTAACCCCCGGCCCGTGTCCAGACCGAGCGCGGAGCAGTATGGTGTCAACAGAGAGCGCCTCCTCCACCTACGAGGAGCTTGCCAGGGCCTACGAGCATGCCAAGATGGAGGAGCAGCTGCGCCACGCTAAATTCACCATCACCGAATGCTTCATCTCTGACACTTCTTCAGAGCAGATGACGGCAGGCACCAATGACTACACTGACAGCCTGACCTCCAGCACACCGTCCGAATCAGGCATCTGCCGCTTCACTGCTTCCCCGCCCAAGCCTCAGGACGTCAGCCGGGTCATGAACATGGCCGTGCCCAAAGCCCACAGACCGGGTGAGGCCACAGATCTGTTTCGGCCTGAACCCTGACGGCATGCTCTCCTTTTATTACAACTGGCCTCATTATGACGCTGACGACACTAATACCTAAACTTCAACTTCTTGTTTAATATTGATATGTAACCATTAACTAATGCCCACAGTTAATCCAGATGAACAGTTGCAAAATGTATTTAAGTTGATTGTCTCAGTTAAGTTAAAGTCTAGGGAACCATCAAATCTGAGTTACATAAAATAGGACTTTGCAAGATATTGAACAATTAATATTTCACACTGCTGACTAAATATTCATGAGAACTCAGTAAGATTCTTGCATATCTAAGGTACGAAACTGTGGCTGCTGTGTTGAAAACCAACATTATTTATCACGTAGTCACAAGCTCCTTTGCAAAGAAATCTACTACAGAGATGCTAACAGCTCTAAATGACATGCTGGCTCCAGAATTTAGCTACAGCATCTAACAGTACCCACTCTCAGTGAGGCAGATCCTAGACCTTTTGAGGAGATTACAAAAATGAAATCTGTTGCTATCTTTCTGTTCCGTCAGGGTTTTTTCTCACATAGACATTTTCATTCAAGCATCATGTAACATACACCGTCTAAAAAAGTTTGGAAGCAACTTTTCTGAATACCAATATTAGGAGATCTTGTTCATAATAATGCTCATTTGATATGTGCAAATATAAGATGCTCAAGTGTGCATGCTTAGACAGGAGGCTTGATAGGATGAACATAAAAACTGCTGTGCAATGATAAAATAGTAGTAGAAAATAGTCTAGTCTAATAGTTTTATAGTAGTACTATTGTCAGTCTAATGAAGTCAACGGTGCCAGAGCAAGGACACAGGGAGACAGCCTGCATGTCTGTGTCATGATACTGAATAAACTATTGATTTATTGCTTTGATAAGCTGACAAAGCTGTATTCTCATCCCATATAAAGGTGAGTAAAAAGATGGACTCTTTTGAGGACAGAGGTTTCTAAAACCAGTGGACTCAACTGCAGGTGGAATGTTGCTCACTAAACTTGATATTTATAATAAATAGAATAATAAAATAAGTTCAGGTGATGTTGAGAATGGATGCCTGTATGTGTTTTCTCTCATACCTAACGCTGATGTGTGTCTGTTGTCCTGCAGGGGGCGAGTTGGTTCACCTTCCTCCATACCTGCGCATGGACTTCCTGTTAAACCGAGGCATGTCCTGCTCGGGCTCATCCAGGGGGACAGCTAGTGGGGAGAGAGCGGCCATGGGCCAGGCCTGTCTGGAGCCCCAGAAGAGTCGCTCACTGAAGCGGCCCTCTCGCATGGCGCCCCCGACGCCCACAGAGGCCCCTCAGGCCAGCAGGGACCCAGTGGCCCAGTGGCAACCTGGCTCTGCAGCCACACTCCCACACAGAGAGGGCTCAGAGCTGGCCCAGGCCGCCAAGCTCAGCACCTCCCAGGAGTCCCTGCTGGACTCGCGAGGACATCTCAAACAGAGCAGCAACCCCTACGCAAAGTCCTACACGCTGGTATAACAGCGGGGGCACCTAGGGCGGGACTAGAACTCACTCTAACACTGGACTTAACACTCAAGTGCAGTAAACTGACTTTCACCACGCAGTTCTGTATATATGTCCCCCCCTCCAAGGGCGGGGTCACTTTTACTAATCTCCTTTTATTTATTTTAGAGCTTTCTTTTATCTCTTGTTTGTATTTTTATTTTATTATTTTTTTTTCTTTGTTTCACTTGAGAAAAAATTCACTCATCGGAAACGACTCCAGCCGGAGCTTTGCCAAACTAATTGAGTAACGAGGGAGCATTATTTATTCTTGATTATTGTTAATTCTTTATAATTAATCAGTGATTATTAATTGTTAGTTGTCAGCTATTAATGATCATTAATTATTGATTACCAAATGATCTATTATCACCATTACTACAATGTTTTCATAAGAACCCGGACATCTTTTTGTTTTTCTGGAGTGGAAGATGACCATTTGGAGTCATTTTTTTCCTATGGAATATCCTTCTGAAACACTGAATGAAACTTGGGAGAAATCTTGGAATGAAAGCAATTGACACCAGTCCAAACTTTTCAGCTGCTCTCAAATTGTTACTTTTTTTGAAGAAAAAAAAAATCTATTTCCTATGGATGCATGGGGACTGACCAATTAAAAGACAATGAGGATTACGATCGTGGCTGGACAGCCCAGTCGAGCATTTTGTCACACTATGAAATGATCCAATGTGAAGATTTATTATTCTTATTACTATAAATATATATATAAAAAGAGAAATCACTTTTATTTGTGGATATTACAGGGAAGAATTGATTTGGTTAATAAAGTCCTTAGTCATGTTTGCACATATCTCGTTTTAATTAGGAAATGGAGTCTCTGTTGATCTTTCTCTGTGTCCCATTCTCTGATGGTGCAATATGAAAAAAGATATGAAAAGTATATGAAAACTATTGCTCTATACTGTACTGTAATGATGAAAAATAACTATGTTGTGAGTATACTTACAGGGCCGGACACTCTCCAGCTATGTATTCAGGTGTAGTTTACCACTGCTTGTTTGCCAGGGTGGTAAATGATGTTAGCTAGAATAGGGAGGGTTTAGAGAACTAATGGTTTGCACTTCACAACACCCCGACTCAAGTGTCTCCAGATAGATCCCCCTACTCTCAGTGCACTAGGTAGAGTCTTCAGGGCTCTCACTCTCCTCAGTAGATTTACTGTTGCTGCATTGCAGCGATGCTCCTCTACAGGGAAAAAAAAACGTGAGACAATCCAGCAGAATCCCCCCTTCAAACCAAACCTATAATGTCTATGGGAAATATCTAAAAAAAAAATGTGGATATACGTAAGAAGCTGTTTTTTGTTCCTGTCTACCCTGGCCCATTTCTGTTCTTTCTGTTTCTTTGAGTTAGCCTGAAGGGAGAAGAGTTTGATCCAAAATGCTGTGAGGTCATTATGTCAGTTTCTATGATTAGTTTCTATGATTAACTGTCTTCATTATGATTATACATTTTAACAAAAAAAAATGTCACTTTTTATTTTTAACATGAGTGTTCACCGTGGTGGCACTGGAATAAAGAGAAACTAACACAAAGTTCAAATTTGATTAATAAAATGGCTGTTCCCCAAAGTGTCCTCCACGGGTTTGACATGAGTGACTGATGGTGGTGTGGAGAAGAAGCAGACGCATGGAGGCTCCACTCTCCGGCTGTTTGGGATGCCAATCTGAGCAGGAAACCCCTAATACCGCCTTATTTTCATCATGACAGCAGTAAGACTTCCTGTCCGTAATGTCTCAGCAATGAGGTTTAAATGTTGGCCAGTCAGATCATCTTCTGTGTGATTCTGTAGGGCCCGTGCCTGCAGGTGGCAGTGTTGTAAAGAGTTATGTTGCTCACAGATCCATCCTCTTTCTTTCTTTCATCCCAAATCGCTCAAACCTTTTAGGAACACTTCATGGAGATGCAGTTTGAGCCATTTTGTTGTTTGGAAGTGTGTATTTTTTCACCTACTTCCGAGGTTCATGGAGAAGGGGAAAGTCATTAAGATTTTATATATATATATATATATTCACCTCTAACAAGTATATTCCAGCAGCAAATGGTAGAAAGTACCCAGATCACAGGAAAACATTCTTTTAAGAGATTGATTACAACACAGCCTCAAAAAACTAGAATGCAGTCTAACTGGAGATGTTGTATTGATATGGGGTGTAGCCATAAACCGAATCTGTGTCCCGAATCCATACTACACACTAATCCTAAGCAATTTGCAGTATGTAGTGTAGTGCATTGTAAATCTAATTACATGGTGCAAATATTGCATCATTTCCTATTATAAAAGTATGTTGATTTCTTGCATACTAACTGCAAAAACAGTATACTGTAAAGATGTGTAGAAGAAGTGTATAGTGTGTACAAGTCAGTATGCCTGTATTTGTGTTATGGAACTGAGATACAGCTATAGACATGCTCCAGGTCTACCTGCTAGTTGGTAAGCTGACATCATAAATCCACAAACCCATGACCCCTGCTACTGACAGCACTTGGCCACTGCCATGTATAGCTTATCTGTCAAAAGGCATTCTGGTAAATGTAGGCAATAACAGGCAGGATGAAGTTACAACCATGAATTCAAATTCAGACTGCTGAACATTATAGGTTGATTAAAGGTCCAAAGGTATAGAGCCTTGTGCTTTTACAGCCACCGTATTTTCTCTGAAAGGTATTCAGTTGGTTGCAATCTGCAACTTCATCGTTAGATGCCACTGAATCCTACACACTGGTCCTTTAAATCAGTTTAATTGAGTCTGAGGGGAAATCTCTAATAATGTCTGTTAAAATGTAAAATGTCATGACTTCTAGAAATGATAGCATTAGACTATAAATATCCATTTTAAATCTTATCGTAGGTGTAAATTGTACAGTTCATCATTTTGAGTGTTCCTTCCTAAACTGGTTTAGTAATTGAAGACTTTCCAACCTGCCACTCTGAAGCTTCTGCCTGAGCCTCACATGTCTTGCCTGCTAAATTGCTTCCATGGTCTTACATCACAAGACAGGGGGTGCAGCAGGAGGGCGTATTACTCAGCATGAGAACTATATCTGCCACCACCTCTGAAGTCCACAACAAATTAAGCGTGGTAAGAGAGATTTACTTGCTGCCACACTCTGCGGTTAATAACTGCTGTCATAAATAAGGTTCAGGAGACCTGAATTCTTCCCTCTGATCAGCCTGAGAAATATGAAGCTGTTGCTGGCAGCGCTGGGGAGAACCATTCCAAACATGTTAAGTGATAAGGAACTGGAGCAATGTACCTTCCTGAACAGTTTGCAGCTGACAGTCGACATTGTTTGTTTCATTCGTTGAATTCAAGGATTTTTTTTTTCTTCTTAAAATCCAGTTATTGGGCCTGGACAGAAAAACTTCAGTGACTTCTTCTAGATTTTATCTAAGAAAATAGCACACTCATTTGTCAGTCCACAGACTTTATCAAATGTTATTGAACATGTATTCATTAACTGATGTATAGTTTTAGAGAAATACCTGCACACTGCAGTCTCATTTCCATTTTATATTCTGTATTTCTTCTTGTGAGCAGCTTGTGAGAGTTTTTATCTGAATATGGTCTGTGTTTATCAACAGTTGATGATGAAACAGGATATGTCATCACTTCCTGTTGAGAGAAAAGTAAATGTGAGGTCAATTGTCTAATAGAACAAAAGTGCAAGGGACAAGAAACCACTGAATTTGTCAAAAAAAAGAAGCCTATTACGATTGTTAAAAATAATAAAAAAAAACAGGAACAGGAAATAATCTGCTCATTCATCCAGATCAGACGTTTTACACAAACCTCCTGCAGTTAATGCATTCATTATTGTGGTTCAATGTATAGTTTATCACTTGAAAATCTGAGACTTGAAAGGTGGTGGCTAAAAGGGTCACATAGTCACAAGCTACTTTGCATAGAAATCTATCTAGATCCAGAAGACAATAAGCCCACGTGGTTGTTGTAAAAAGGATTGTATGAATTTGTAAAGAAGATTCACAAGTTGTCTCTCTGAATGACAGCATTACCAAATGTCATAGTAGCCTAAACTGAACTACACATGTACGGGGCTATACCCGTATAAGGACTTCCTGCAGGCATTTTAATGCAGAATTTTTTCTCAGATCAATCAGGATGAGTTAATGTGCAGTATATATGCAGTCTGCTGTAAAAGGGCATGAAAACCCATCAGTACATCAGGGTCTTGTAATTGTGCTGACTAGAGTATGTGACGATCTAGTGCAGCAGTGAGTGAGTTTGTTGCAATGTCAAGGTCATATCAGTTAAAGATCCAAAATGCTTATTCAGCATTTTGTTGGACAGTTTGTTTATTGTTTTTAAAAGGTTGTAACGGATCGTAATATAGTTAATCCAATATAATCTACTGCACATGCTGCACACACTCTGGCAGTCATTCCCAACCTTTTTCCTTCAGGGACCCCCTTTCTATCATTGAGTAAACTGACAACCCCTGAATAAGTGACATATTTTATGAATATTTCACATTATATTCAAAACTGTAAAATGAACCCAAACAGTGAACTCAGTAACTGCAGGATGTTTGTGTTGTGTGATTTAGATGAATATTGAGCAGATTATTTCCTGTCTCGAAAACTTTTTATACAATTCTCTGTCTGTATTATTATTAACAATCATACAGACTTAATAGGCTTATTTTTTGACAAATTCACTGTTTTCTTGTCCCTGACGCTTGGCAATTGTTCTATTAGATAATCTACTTTACATTTACTTTTCTGTATATTTTAATGTTTTCTTACAGCCCTGAAAATCAAGAGGGCCTTGTGACCCATGAATCTTTGGGAACCCCCAGGTGGGGAACCACTTGTATACAGTACAGTGCAGCTGCTTACCAGAACAATTTGGAATGATACAAACTAAATCAACACTTCTTTCCAACGTCTTTATTTCTTTGTATACGTATATGAATGTGTGTGTGTGTGTGTGTGTGTGTGTGTGTGTGTGTGTGTGTGTGTGTGTGTGTGTGTGTGTGTGTGTGTGTGTGTGCAGGCTTGCATGCATAATTGCGTGTGCTTGTACAGTATACATGTGTGAGCCAACTGAACAATGACATTTAAATCACGTTAAGGAAAGAAACACAAATCACAAGCACAACATCTACAGTCAAAGACACACAGCTCAGAGAGGTTCATCTCAGCGGATGCAAAGACACGATGGAGGGGAGACCTCCGACTTCGAAATACAAATTAGACATTGATTTGATTTTAAAAGCAACAGTCGTATGGCGTGATAGCGCTGGCAGCTGTATGGGATCATTTTACCCAGCCAGAGGGAAATGCCATTACCAGACCTCCAGCAGAGCTGAAACATCTTTTGATTATGACGCCTTGCAAAGACTGTCAATGAAATCATGACCCACGTTTAAGTGTCAATCACAGCAATGCATGTGGCTTTATATTCCCCCTGAATTAAAGATAATTGTTGTTTGACAATTTATGAGACTTATTTTAGTTTTCTGTTAACATGGGTATATTACACTGAGTGTGACATAAAAAAAACTACTCAAACTTTAAGCTCTACTGCGGCTACACTGTCATTGAAGTAAAAAACAGAAATAGCAAAATTACAGAAAAGATTTAAATACATACACCCAGAATTTGATCAAGTATCATTTTTGTATATAATAGTTAATAATTACACACACACACTTTCACAAAGATACTATTTAGCCCCAGACCACCCCACCCCCCGACCCCCACCTTCAGGAATCCCACCCCTACCCTTCCTTTTCAGTTCATGACGGTGCAGTTTGATTGACATGCAAGACTGGGCCCACATCGAGTGGCGACGCAGCTGACAGTGCTCCGCTCTAAGACTTCACATCCTGCTTCTTTTTCTGGAATTTCCTGAACTGCGACTGGATGGCCACGGCGGCCTTCTCAGTCTCCGGGTTCTCCATGTCGATGTCAAAGTCTTCTGGGAGGTTATCCTTCTTCTCATCTGGGGAGAGGAGAGGAGAGGGGTGGTGGTGAGAAAATGGTGGGACATTCATAAACTGCTTGTTAAAACTTTGTCTTTTAAAATAATTAAAAGTCTTACCTTTGTGATGCCTTTATTACTGCCCCCTGAGGTTGGAGGGTGGAAAACACCCACTCAGCTGTGGTTCTCAACAACATCAGTGGGTGTATTCCATCCTCCGGGCCTCATGGGGAAGCAATGAGCTCATTACAGTCTGGCGCACCACAATAAAGTGCTGCTGAGTTCTAAAACCCACAAATGAGTTAACATTTCGGTTCCCTCGCCTCAAAGTCAGTGGGTTTTTGGTTACATGTCTGAAATATCGTCTGTGGTTAACGCAAGCTTAAGTCAGTAAATACTCCACCTGTGAATATTTAAGCTTTTATGTTGCATTTGCTAACAAGTGGCTAAACGAGACCACAGAGGTTGTCGCCATTAAATGTTCACACCGAACAGTTTAGTGGTCTAACGTTAGGTTCATCCTCCAGGTGATGGCATTCATGCTTCACAAATAATAAAAGTGGTGTTCATTTGTGAAGATTATCTCGCTGAACAACACATGTAAGTATCATAAGCCTTTGTTCGCCAAAGAGCTTATTTTCTGAGAAAATCTAAAATCTAATGGAAAAATCCCATTGGCTTTTTGTCGAAGGAACCAGGCGATGCTAACTTCCGGGTTGGACTACAAAAATACATCAATGTAGCATCTCAAGGGCCGCCCAACAGCCACAGGGGGCACTAACAAGCACATTAGATACTTTCTTGGACAAGCGAAGGTGACATTTGTGCTTTATCAGAAGAGTTTTCAAAAATAAATAAAGTGAGATTTTCTGTGTAAACCATCCAGGTCTCCCAACAACATTGTTATCCTCTGTCGATATCGTTATCCTTGTGGTGTGGACTATACCATCCACTCGAGTTGGAATGATTGTTAAAAAGCTGTATTTATAGTAGGGCTGTCCCCTAAAAGTTGAGTAATCTGTTAGTCCATGATAAGAGTCATAGTCGACACACTTTTCATTAGTCAGATATTCGCAGTCAAACAGGAGCTGTGCCTTGTCACCCGGACTGTTGCAGCATGGACCTTTTCTCTGGTAACACAGTGCTGCTGCATGTGCTAACTGCTAATGAGCCGCTGCCACTAGTTCAGGGGTCCTATCAGAGGGGGAGGTTTGTGGAGGAGGGAGAGGAGGAAAGGCATGAGGGAGAGGAGCGAGTTTGTAGCAAGTTAATTTAAGTAACTGTTAGCGTTATAAGTGTGTTGAAATAAATGAACTAAATATTCAGTCTCCTTGCTGCTTGTTCTGACACAGTGAGAGTTATTACTGCTTTTTCCATTATCATTTAACAGGCGGCTGTTAAAATAGATATATTTAAATAATTCAATAAATATCATAAACGTTTGACGACCAGTCAACTAATGGCTTTATCTAACGACTGCTAGTTGACTAGGGAAATCTTTAGTCTGGGACAGCCCTAATTTATAGTTATTATTATAGTTCACTCATGCTTGGTGTGGACAGCCCTTTAGACTGTTCTATATTTCTTCCTTCATTTGTATCCTTGTCAGGGTGGAAATGCCTCTATAATGGATTTCAGACAATTATTTGACACAAAAACTCAGGTGCCCTCTGAGAAAGGGTAAACTCTGTGAAGGGAAGCCTGTAAAATAACAATTTTACATAAACATAGCAGAACAAATAAATGGAACCATAAAACGTGCAAAGAAAATAAAAAATTCATTGCAGGTTTTACAGGCAGTTTTTTTCTGTTGTAGTGTTAAAGGAGTGACCTCATTCATGTCAGATGTAAATGTCATTACAGATGTCTGACATTCAATAAAAGGACAGCACAGAAGCTCACATATCGACAAACGAGGCTAACGAGGCGACTGCTCTCTATCTGACAGAGAGGACGTGGGTCTTTTATGACCAAAGAGTCAAACTTCTTTATTTAAAACACATACTGTTCAACATCCCCTTTAATCCTCCTGTGTGAAGAGAATGAGACATGCCTTGTTGAAAGAAAAAGAAACTCTGCTTATTTAAAGGTTCATCATCATTCTCCGTGCATCCAAATGGTGAGTGCATAATCAAGACTGACATCAAGTCAGCGCTGACTGCTCACATGTGTGTGACTAAAACAAGTGAAAAGGTTTTATGGGATGTGACACAGTCTGTTGTTAGTTGTCATGCAGTAAGATGCTCCGTGCATGGTTGTGCTGACCTGCTGTGCGAGGTGTGGGCTCTAGCATAAAGGGAACCTTTTCCAAATAGCCTACTTACGTTTAGCTGGAATCTTTTGTTGACCTTGAAGCCCTTGGATGACATACGTGACAATGAAAACAACATTCATATTTCATGATTGCAGAAGCCACTCAACCTCTCCGTCAGTCTCTCTCGCACACACACAGCTTCCTCCTCTCAAATCACACCTGCTCCACAGGGTCGATGCCCTTTACACCACAGAGGGCGTAAGACTAGACATGTCACAGTTTCACTAATATGTTCCTTTGCTACATTAATGAATCAAATTGCCACAAAGGATGATGGGATTATTTTCTTAAGAGGTTTGTGAAAGGTCACGTTCAAATTGGTTCCTGTGAGATTTAAAGGAACCTGAGAGTATACGGACAATGATTGATGAAAGCCCAGTCGAAAGAATACTGAGCAACGAAACTTCAAAAAGGTGACCTGTGAAGCCAAGCAATGACTGGAAACTGAACCACAAGTTAGACACCAATATATTCACAAACAATGGAAAAGGAACACATTTATTCTCTCAAGCTGTGAGGTACTGTGTCTATAGGAAAAGGGTAAATTATTGATTTCCATACTGACATGATGCCCTTTCAGTCAATCCCAACAGGTCGGCCTTATTCAGTATCACAAGTCATTGTTAGCTTGTGAGCTGGCTGGCGGATAGCACATCCAGTCAGCATTGAAAAAAAATCTTTCTATTGAAAGACTTGTGAAGAGCTTCTTTATAATTATCATGTACTGAATATATTATAGATGTTATATATGGGATCAATAAAATCCTTACCAGTTACCAATACAGAGACAAATACAGACAGGTGACAAATTAAAGGAAAAACCTGAATAAATGAGTGGAGAATCATGAAACATGCAGATACTTTTATACATGACACGAGGGGCCAACCAAAATTATGTGATGAACACCTATGGAAGAATGGAGAGGGTTGCAGAGACTGGGAGCTTTGTGTTGGTTTTTCCTTTAAATTGTCACCCATCTGTAGGGAATTGGGAAATAAGGGGGTAACAACTTTGTGTTTAAGTGGTACTTTAAATGACACTGTAAATATGTTTCACATTGCTGAGTACCTATTAAATAATTATTTACAGGGTACAGTAATATTGTTACTGGACAACAAAGCAGGATAACTGGGGTAACGGTTGATATAGTGCAATGAAACTAGTTGGTATCATTTATTGTTGTTTTTTTTACAATCATTATTTAATAAGAAGTCACACAGTGTACAGAATTAATCCTGCCAGGGAACAAACGTTAGGCTTCTTCTGGGTTCTGGGTTTTTATGTGTAATTTGTGTGATTTATTTCTGGGTCCCTCCAAAACACAAATGTAGGTACCCAATGTTTCACTGGTACAGCAAATATTTATACTAAATATATTTATTAGCTTCAATTGAAGGCACTGCTGTTCAGACTGCCATCTACAGAGGAAACCTTGGACTCATGTAGAAGCTGGACAACCTTCTTTTCTTAGCAAGAAAACGCATTCTGTTTAATTAGATTGAAGAAAACCTCCTTCTGTAGCACGAGATTGGAAAGGCCCTGTGCCAAAATAAAAGGAAATGACGACAGCTTTATGTATCTATGATAGCCTCTGATAAATGTCATGCCCAGTGAGCTTAATGACCAAATCCTGGACTGGAGGGATGCTGACATTTCTGTGTAATTCATATTAAGTGGATTAGCCTGTACATAATAGTAATTTAGGAGTTAATGTGTAAATGGGGTTAAAATGTGTCCTTTTTATGATCTTGACGGTAAAATGGATACATCTTGTATCATCCACTTCTTTCCCCCTCTGTCATCGTCCTATGATGATTGATATTTTGATGTGTTGAGCATTGTTTAATTAAATATAATATAATGAATATAATAATTTTAAAAAGTACCTTTCTTGAACTGTACATTTATTAGAGTGAATTAGACTTCAGTAACTCCCAAACCAAAAACAACGAAAAGATGGAAAAAGTGTGAAAATGGGCAAAAGTCAAGTAAATGCAATTCATGCCTCTATCAAATTCAATTAAGGTGCCTAAAATCCCTCTCCGATCACTGGCGGGATGTTTCCCTCCGGACTGAGGCTGAGCTGCAGTACACTTCATCATCCCACAAGTTGGGACAGAAAACCGTTTCAGCGTGGGGTCTTAACAGTGTTATCAGCAGCCCCAGAGAGACAGGAGAGGTGACACATGGTCTCCAGGTACGTAGGGCTGCTAGGGGGCTGGATATAGAGCCATTTAGCAGTGCGAATGGGCTGCTATTAACCTGCTGCATCCATTGTGTTAGGAGAGGGTTGACTTCAAGGAGTGGAGGAGATTACATTCAGCGAATCCTCAGTGTATTGTATCATATGCTGCCATGAAACCTAATTTTGAAAATGTGCAGACTGCAGAAAGCACTTGTAAGATATGCAGTATCTGCTTGCATGGTTGAAACTATAAAAACCCAGTAACAACCTGCTAAATGTATATTCATGATGACATATCAGCTTGTTTCAAAGCTTAGTTTGCATGTGTTAATTCTGCAAACCAGAGAGGGAGTGTCAGACTGATTCACATTCGTCTCACTTGAGCTGAGGTCATGAAAAAAGCGCTTCACTGGTCTGAGGTTCATTAGGAAAAGGCCTTTGTTCTTGCATACTCTAATTCTGCCAGGACAACAGTTCTGCACTTAACACCATTTATGAATTTCAAAGGATTCTGCCAAGTACTGCAAGCCCAATTTTACCGTTTATAACTCAAGGGATTTGAATTACATTATTATGCCAACAATACCATGGCCCAGTTTGCAAAGTAGGTCTTCCTGTGAATTGCTACCATGGTAGAGGAAACCATTCTATTGCCACTGTGGAATGTTGTTTCTTATACAAAAGCAGAAAATAGGCATATTCAAATAAACTACTCTGTCAAATTCTCTCTGATCTTACTATGAAATACAGCAAATTCTGGGATTATACAAGGTTTTAAAAATTATAAGTGTGGTAAGTATACTATTTCAGCAAACTGAAAGTATTTTTCACTGGATAAGCCCCCTGACAGATGCATCATCTCATCACATTTAAACTACTAGGTGGTGCACACAAAAACCACTCTGAAACACAGAAAAAAAAAAAAAAAATAGTGCAAAAATATTACAAAACTGTTGTCATGACATTAATTCATAATTATAAATGTGTTTATAAGCATAAACATTTTAAGCAAGAGCAACCTAATTTAAAATAAGAAATAAATAATCCAAAAGATTTAATGTGAGACAGTAAATTTTTCCAATCAAAGAGAGCCTTAATGCAGAGTGCTTTTTTCCCAGTTTCTGTTGCAACAGACAAAGTGAGAGACTTCAAAATACACTAAGGCATTATGGCTCTAAACTACTTCAAATAAACTGGGAAATTAAAATGTATTTATTTAAACATTAATATGAAGTTAATTTTCTTCTGACATTTAAAGACTCCAAATTAAGAGCCTCATACATATGACAATGATGGGTATAAAACAGACATTTCAAAATAAATATACATAAACAATTGTAAATAACTTTCAATATAAAAGATTATTAGCATTAGCATTATTATTAGCTTTATGATATCAGCATAATCCAAAAAGTGGCAACAACTGGGTGAAAAGCCTTTTTCTAACATTAAAATAAACCACATTTGGACCTTTTAAAGAATTCCCAGACCATGGTCTACTCTTTTGATAGCAGCATCTTTGTGGAATTTGAAAGAAAGCTCAGAATCAATAATGATACCAAGGCACGTTATAGAATTTACTTAAAATCGACAATAAAGATCACTGCATGTAACTGAAAGTGTATTTGAGGATCTTTTGATTACTGTTTAGTGCCAAAACGTGCACATATGATACTGAATGAACGAGAGAATGAGACACTTTAATGTACACACAATTGTGTCATCTGCAAACAGATATCTTTCTCTGTGTGAACTAATACACGCATTGTAACTTTACACATCTTTTACTCTGATTGATTGTGATTGTGTCATATTATTGTTTGTAATTTTACTAAAATGACATGATAGTTTCTCAGCATGATGCTATTTTTTTTTTACTACTCCCGCCTAGATCAATGAGTACACACAGTGACTTTTCTAGAACTTCTACTTTAAACTACTTTTATTAAGCGGACGCCTATTTATAGTCACAAAAACAACACCTCTGGAGTATCAAAGAGTTTTACAGTGGTTCTTTAAGTGCAGTGTTTGGTTACAAGCAGTTTTTACACTGTCTTACTCTTCTTACAGAGATCAGAAATGAGACAAAATATAACACCAGGAATTTAACTGCCAGGTCATATTTACATCTATTACATCCTGCTATTTACATCCTCAATAAACTCAACCCAGACCTATATATGGTCGTCAAATACTGCCTTTTGGTTCAGTGGCCCTACAAAATCTGACACTGTAGGTATCCCCCTAGTGTAATTTTTGGATGTGTCTGCCATAAAGTCAAGAGATGTAGTATAAAGAGCAAGAAAGTCTATATATTGAGTTGTTGGGGTGGATGGATGGCTCATAATACAGGACTTTAACCCAAACAATTTTTTGTTTTAGTAACGTACCTAGGTTACATTTTATTCATGTACATCAGGTACGTAACTTATGATCTATTCCTAATTTTTGTACCAAAACCTAAACAGCTGACTGTTTTACATCATTAACTATGCAAGCTTTATTTTGAAAGCGTGTAAGCAGACATTGCACATTAATTATTGCTAACTTAACCGTGCAACCCTTCGCATCCATTAATGATGCTAGAGGGGTACATACAGTGTCATATTATAAAGCAAAGGGTCAATGACCAATGAACATAATGATAAACTATATGTTATTAGAATATAATTACAATCATAGGAACTGTAGAATTACAATTTTCTTTTGACATATACAGTACTAAGTACTAATATTACAAATAAACTGTTCATACTCCAATTAGCTGCATTCAAGAGGTTTTGTATTTTATTTTACTGAATTTGTCAAAAACTTTGAACACTCTTCTAACATGTGTCTAGGTGAGCTGTGAAAACAACTGATCTGTTGAACAATTTCAGTTATAATGTTTGTCAAACAATGATGATGATAACTGAAAATCATACTTTCCATTGTAACCAAAGAGCAAAACTAGCGATAGATTTGTTCCATTACTATATGCAGTAATATTCTGCATTATATTTCTGCATGGTTGTACTTTTCAGACTGAACATGATGGTTAGAAAATACCTTGGCCAGCAGATGGTTTGCTGTTTCCAGTCATTGCTCCAGATGCTTGTCTCTGCAAAGAAAGCAGAGAAAAACATGATCAGCATTTTTTTTTTCAGAAGAAATCAACATGTGAATACTAAAAATGTTCTTATTAGAGTTTATTTACCATTTATTTTACAAAATGCTAATTTTCAGTAAGTTAAGCATTTCAATTCCAAGATCTCTGTTGATAACAACACAAGATTTAACATGTTTGTTATATACAGAGAAAGCATGATAGGGAGTCATCCTCACATTAAAACCCAGTCACAGTGAACATGTTAGGACAGTCTCTGCTGTGTGAGAGGAGCTGGGATGAAATATGTTGATCTATAATCCATGTTTCTGCAGCAGAGGCACGCTCACTCTGCCTGCTCTCTAACAGCTCCCGACTGTTCTCCCCTGACAGACTGGTGCTGCTCTGCAACATTACGAGATGCACTCAGCTCTGAAAATAAAAGCTTCCAAATGCACCAGACACTACAGTGTGTGTGAGACAGTTTGCTGCAGTTGCATCATTCAGATCTTAAATTTGTTTGCTTGCAGAAAGATAATTTTGTATCACTCTGAGTCTGTGGATAATATTTTCCAATCATTCACTTAGCATGATCAAGATCAATGTGTTCAAATCGAGAACATAACTCATACAACTGAGCGTTGCACGTGTGATTTGATTTAGAGCATGTTGTATTTCATAGCAGAGACCATCTCTCCATCTTGCTAAACTCAACCTGAATTATTAATCCTGCGTTTTCAATGAATTTTAAAATACCTAAGTAGTTTTGACGTATGTGAGCCAAGCAGGAAGAAAGCAAAATAAAACTGGCAAAAGAAAGCCCACGTCTCCCTCCCGTGTCCCCATGTGCCATCACGAGAGCCAGTGGAAGAGAAACTTGTTTGGCAGCGTGGCCATCTGTTTTTCTGTTTACACGAAGAACTCAAAGTGAGTCAATGCCGCTGGGATTCCCAGCACCACGCTGACTCTCATCTGCTTGATTGTGCTCTGGTATTTGGCGGGGCAGGAGCCTATGCCACGCACCGTTGGCGCCATACATCACACCTCCACCCACCAGGACACAAAGCGAGCATTCAGTGGCAGCCAGAGCAGACGTCCGGGAGCAGAACAGCAATAATGTTTGAGTGATTGTCTCGGTGCAGTTGGAAGCTACAGTGCAATATCGAGAAATCAAGACAAATGTGCTACAAGCTGAAATCAATAACCAGCTGCAGGTCACAACTTTTTGATGTTGTTTTTTCTTATATTTTCCCCACATTTATTCTTTACTCTTCTCCATCTCAATCCTTTTTGGCTCTCTTGCTTTAGCTTCAGCTTCATACACTGAGCAGATGGGCTGTAGCTGTAGAGCCACCAACAGATAAGAGAGGAGCTAATCCAAGTTCAAAGACTCCTTCTATATTAGGTCACATTTCCGCTAGAAATGAGGGGACTAAAATCACACTAACAGGAGGTGTGGGTGCTATTTGTGTCTACGGTGGGCGGCTGTGTTGCAATAAAAGTATCCTGAGTACGATTATTTTTGTCTCTAATTGTAACAAAACGGTGGAGAAGGAACATTTGGTTTATTTATTCAGCATTCATGCAATAAAGCCAATAAAACACATTTGTGATTGATGCATCAGATTTATTAGTATTTGTCATCACATGACACTAAAGACAGGTGTAAGATAAAAATATGTTGAATTGCATTAGTAGATGAGATATGGACCAAATATAGCTAGAATACGTGGATGTTTGTAAATCTAATCTGTTCTAATCTCTGAGTTTCAGATTACAGGGAGGTCAGAGGTCAGAGGTCACTGACTAGACAGCAGCCCTGCAGCTGGCAGAGAGTCAGTGATGACACACTGATGCCTCAGACCTGTGTTTGTTACTTTTTAAAATTGTTTTTTGCCCAATCTTTCACAAAAGCCAAGATATGATTGGGGAGGTTGTAGAACATCTGCCTGGATACAGTCTGAGCTTGCATAACAGCTCCAGTCCTAATGTGCACGGGGATAATTCACCATGCATTAGCACGTCCTCTCCACACTCTTCCCTTTTATGCTAAATTTCCTCTCCAGTGGAAGTTCTATTGAATAAACACAGAGAACAGCAAGAAAAAAGGAACATTTGCATAAAAATTCATATGAGGATTTTCAGAAGCAATGAGTGAATTTCAAATGAGGTGTTTGTCATGGCCCATCTCAGTCTTTGCTCAGGCTTGGCACTGCTTGATTCCCATCACTTGCTCACTTCCAACAGTTGAGGAGATATTGTCGCTCTGTTTGCCAGCAGCATTTTAAACAAAAGACTCAAAACCTCAATAAGAATTCTGGATGGCAAAAGTGAAAACAGTAGTTGCAGTAGCAGGTGTAGCAGTGCTGACATTTGCTTTTTTAGTGTGATATAAAATCTAACAGACTGTAGGATATCAGCTGAGTCACGTTTCCTCATATCAAACACAGCACAGCCTCTGAACCTGAACAACAAACTGTCAGAAGCAAAAGCTTCACAATGTTTGTGTTTCTGTTCCTCCCTGGCAGGAAGGTTGTTAAAGAGAAATATTACAACTGTTCAGTCAGCTATATTTTCTGTATATTATGCAAAGAAATGTACAGTAATGCTTTAGTATAGTCTACATAGATGGTGTGTTTCTTCATACATCTGGTCCATGACTTTAGAAATAAAAGAAAATATCTCACTGTAAATAAATACACACATTGAAACTGTATTTTTCTTTCAAAGCAAGCTTATGTCACTATTGTAAGACCACAGTCTTCCTCATGCAAATAAAATGTTTTATTCATGAGCTATAATCAGAATCAGAAATACTTTAATAATCCCCGGGGGGAAATTACTATAATGCTAGCAAACATTTTTGGGATTATTGTGGTTTAAAATGGCTGATTTCACAGCAGATTATCTGAATCATTTTGATGCATGTTACAATGTCTCTTGGCATTTTTGGCAATTAAATTGAAAAAGTGAAAATTCCAAAAACAATTTTTGTGATAGAAAAAAATTGAAGGGAACTTATATAAAAAACCTATTGTTTGGCGTATTCCAAGTTACCTTACCAAACGGATTATGAGGGTAAATGTGAGACGTTCACTGCCCATTAGTTAGTCATGGTCAGGCCCCTTCATATCTTAAAGAGCTCATAGTACCCTATTACCCCACTAGAACACTATGTTCTCTGAATGCTGGGCTACTTGTGGTTCCTATAGTCTCTAAAAGTAGAACAGGAGCCAGAGCCTTCAGTTACCAAGCTCCTCTCCTGTGGAACCAGCTTCCAGTTGTGGTTCGGGAGTCAGACACCCTCACCACATTTAAGAGTAGGCTTAAGACGTTCCTCTTTGATAAAGCTTATAGTTAGGGCTGGATCAGGTGAGTCCTGAACCATCCCTTAGTTATGCTGCTATACGCCTAGACTATCGGGGGATTTCCCATGATGCACTGAGCTCCTCTCTTCCTCTCTCTCTCTCTCTTTCTGCACTCATTCATGTCCCATTAATGCATGTTACTAACTTCACTTCTTCCCCGGAGTTCTTGTGCTTTCTCGTCTCGCAGGTTCTCATGGATCCTGGTGGAGCCTCCTGCCATGGTCCTGCTTGACTGCCATCACTAATATCACTGAAATTATTGTTATTATTATTATTATTAATATTATTATTATTACTACAGTTACTATTATTACTATTGTCACTGCTCATTGTCCCCCATCGTTGCTGTTGTCATCGTCATCATCTACTACTACTACTATTAGTGTAGTTGTTGCTACTGTTGTTGCTATGCATCTCTCTCTCTCTCTCTCTCTCTCTCTCTCTCTCTCTCTCTCTCTCTCTGTCTCTCTCTGTCTCTCTAACCCCAACTGGTTGAGGCAGACGACCACCCACCTAGAGCCGAAGGATCTGTCCTAGGTTTCTGCCTCTTAACAGGCAGTTTTCCCTTGCCCTGTCGCCAAGTGCTTGCTCATGGTGGTACTGTTGGGTCCCTGTAAATGTTATAAGGCTCCATTTCGAAAGTGTCCTGAGATAACTTCTGTTATGAATTGGCGCTATACAAATAAAAGTGAATTGAATTGAATAGTCTGCATGGTCTGCAAGCATGGGAAACTACAATGATTGGTCAAAGGTTGTGGTGATTGGACAAACAAAACTGACAATTCTTGCAGAATTTGCAAGGATTGGTTGAATTTGCATTAATTGCAACTTCCTGGAGGGACTGACTAGATACGGAGTATGAAAGTCAGCACAAATTTAGGTTACAATGTTTATTTGCATCTGGACATCTTATATATCATTTTGTCCTAATAACTGTAACAAATCTTTTACACTGAATCCTCAAATTGAATTAATTATACTGTATCATCATTGTCAGTGGGGATAGTTGTATTTTCATAGGTCACTGGGAGCACTGTTGAGCTATTATACTTATAAACACTATTTATAACCTTATAGGAACACTAGCAGTGTTCCTATAAGGTTCAGTTTTGTACAGAAGCAAACAAGGCAGTTTGAACCAGCAAAATTCTGAATGTACTCAGCAGCACTGAACATTGCAGTGGTATGAACAGTGATATATTATTATTCATATATTAGTATTCACTTACTTACTGGTGTACATGTAGTCGAGGTGTTCAGTAAATGTACGAACAAAACTTCACTCACTCACAACCAAATTGATTACAGGGGCATAAATGTATGCAGTCAAATGTGAATTGGGCTCATTAACGTATCTCATTATATAAAACTGCTTCGGTTAGTTTAGGTTGTAGTAGCTACTCTATTTTCACTTCCACAGAATGTGATTGAGGTCTGAGTTATTTATTTCTACCATCTCTTTCTCCTTGTCGTGATCTAATGTGGGTGAGGAAGGTGTGGGTGGAAATCAATGGTCCTCTACAGCAGTGGTTCCCAACCTCTTTCCTTAAGGACCCCTTTTCTATCATTTAGTAAACTGATGACCCCTTACTAAGTGATATATTTTATGACTGTTTTATATTATATTCAAAATTGTGTAATTAAACA